CAAAAAATGATTATTTCAATTGCGATTGATAAATACAACAAAAAATGATCATTTCAATTGCGAATACATTCGCTGAATTTGTTGATCGAAATGTTTCTTCAAATTTGGTCTCCTATTTTTTAGCGTTGGCGTCAACAAATCGTTTACCATCGTAAAACGATCCGAAGTTACGAAAACATCCTTCACCTGAATTTGTAGAGAATTAGTTCATTTTGAGATGGGAGCACTTAACGATTGATTGGAATTGACAAAAATAAAAATTTTTTGAAAAATCGAACCTGTTCGAAGGAGAACAGTCCTTGTTCTTTGCCATTTCCAATGAGATCATCGAATATCATTTTTTTAATAGTTTCAATCAGACACATCTGCTCAAAAGTGGCTCCGTTCAGTTCTGGTCGACTTGAAGCAAGTTTCATCAATTCCTAGGTGAACATATGACATTAAGCCTATTATTATCTAGGTCATCGATGAAAAGCACCACTAAGTTGTGAAGTAAAATGAAATGCACACACCTCCTCATCCAGGACAAAATGCCAATAAGCGAACACTTCAAGCTGTCACCATAAACAAATGACTGCGACACATACGGTGAACAGCAATGAGAGGGAGGTATCACATCCCACAAGAGGCAACCTGATCACGGAGAGGACAAGGGAAGCCGGCATGAAACTAATCCAGGTACTGGCTAATCTCATCACTCATACAAATCTACTCCCGGACCTAATCGACGACAACACTTGACTTATCTAAAGTACCAAATTTGCAATCATTTTTTGTCATAACTCATCTAATCAGTTTTGTCACCTTACGCCGCAGTTGTATTTATTGTTTATGGGTTGGAAACAAAAAGAAAGCTGCAAGCGAGATGGTGATTTTCTACAGCTGAGATGGCGATTATCGTAGAATTAAACATCTGTAATCCAGATTAATCTAATAAACAATAGAAATCAAAACATTTGATAACTTCTGAATGAAATCTTGATGTAAACAGTATTCTGTAATGGAGTACAGAAACGGAGAGGGATTTGAGGAAAACACCAGCGCATACGCATGTGGAGAGAGAAAAACGCGAATGGTGAGGTGTGAACGAAATGTACACAACGATCAAAATTTCATGACAGATCAACAAATGCTCGAGAGTGATTCGAGATTGACATGCGTTGTTGTGTCTTTTGATCTGAATCTGCTTCTCAGTATGGTCAGCACGCACCCACTGTTCACTATACGTATGCATCGTCAATGGGCAATGAGTTATTGATGTCGCATTCGCAGCGTTCAGAAATTTTTGAGGAACTGACTCTATCGACGGATATAATGCCAGACATGGATCAAAACTCTCAGATTATCAAGGAGAAAGTGGAGTCCAATTGAAAATTATGAAGCAAATGCAAATTAGCTGAAAGCCATCGCAGAATCTTTGTGACTAAAGTAAAAATGATTTAAGCCATCCTGATGAAGTTACACGAGCTAAAAATCGATGGACAGGTGGGGTGCATGCTTACAGAAGCGGGCCAACAATAGTCGAAATAGTATTGCGATGACTAATAAGAATAAAAATAGCACTGGAACATACAAGAGAGTAGAGATGCAGACTTTTCATGAACCTCGAGTATCATGTCTCAGATACGAGCGTGCGTAGGTGTACACGTGCGTGTTTAAAGCATTATAAACATGGAACATCGTTTGACGCTTTTTGATGTGATGCATTCAGAAGCTTATTGCGAAATTGCATTGTATTGACAACACATTGGTGCAAAAAGTTTTGATCTCTGATCAGCTATTTGAAATAGTATCGTCAAAAGGAAGACTGGATTTGGAACCATTGCCTTTGCTGAAGGCTAGAGGATGAGCATACGGTCTATTTCAAGTGATGATATCTGATTGTTTTTGCAAGGTACTATTCACTGGTATCATCATCAGCTTTAATCAAGAATAAACGCTTAAGAAAGCATGATTGATGTTGTAGAGACGTTCAACACATTCAATTCCTAAGCATTCGAATCGCTCCAATGAGCAAATCGCTTCCTAGCAATGAAGTATTTAAGACTAATTTCAACAAAACTGCCGAATGAGCAATGTAAAGCATCTTAGTATGCATATGTCGAAATGATCGACAATATCCGAACAGTGAGCAAAACCGTCATATAACATAAACACTTTTCTGAAAGTGGAGAATCTGATGACGGGGATAAACAGGCATGCCGTGAAAACCTGAGAGGACCGTTAGATTGAGAATGGTGATCCTGAAACTATTAATTCTTCATGTACATTGTTCAATGCACAAACAATGTATAGGAACGAGCGGCTCAGATACATGAGACAGTTCCACAAAAATCATCAACGCTCCTTGGAGTAAGCAAAATCGTCCGACAACATTGATAGTCTCTGAAAGTAGAGAATCTGATGAATTGGATGGTGCGAAAAAACGACCACGTTACCAAATAAACCTGAGAGCACTTTGAAAGTGGTGACCCTATTAATGGTAATTTAATGTAGAGTGATCATTATTGATTCGATGTATTGAAATGAGCGCTGCTAAGCAAGTGAGATGCCTTTAGGAAGTCGGTAAGCAAAATCGCCCGACAACATGCTTGAGGAGATATAGCTGATTTTCTGAACGATTCTCAAGTACTTCGGCCGCTCTCGTTTCAGTACAATGCATCACTATTGATCAATGCGTACATTACTATAGTGGCATTAGTGTCACCATCTTCAAATTAACCGTGTCCTCAGCTTTGCCCAATAAAATGGCAATTTCTTTACTTCATTAGATTTCCGTGTTTTTACATACGTCAAGCGATTTTGCTTACTTGAGGAGAGATACTCGATTTTCTGAACGTATCTCGATTAGCTCGGCGGTGCTCGTTTCAATACGATGTATCACTATTGATAAATGCGTACATTATTACAGTGGCATAAGATTCAGATTATCATACATTTTACTGACAATATCATGTTTTGCCGAGCGATTTTGCTGATCCGAGGAGATAGAGCTTTTTTCTTGGGTCTATTTCAAATAGCGTAGTCGCGCTCATTCATATACATTGATCAGTATAAATCAATCAATACGTTAATATAGCAATATACGGGTTGCCATCCTCGAGGAACCCTTACTCTCAAGCTCGCCAAGTAACATAAAAATTTCTTTACTCTACTCGATCCAGCGTAACCTCTAGAATCAAAATATCATATATTTTACGCAGTAATTTGACTTATATGAGGAGATATAGCTATTTTCTTAAAACTACCTCAAGGCTATAGGAGTGCTATATTCAAGACTACCGTACTCTCAAGCTTCCACAGTAACATGAGAATTGTTTTACACCATTCGATCCAGGGGAATCTCTAAATTCAGAATATTATATATTTTACTGAGCGATTCTACTTACCTGAGGAGAAATAGCAATTTTCTTAATACTAATTCAAGGCTATAGCGGTTGCCATCTTCGAGCCTACCGTACTCTCAGCTTTGTCCAGCGATATATAAATTTCTGTACACCAATCGATCCAACAGCACTTCTGCCTTCAAAAAAGTATATATTTTGTTGAGCAATTCCGCTTCCTTGAGAAGATATGGCTATTTCAATAAAGCTATATCAATAACCAGCGCAAAATCGCTCATTCATATACATTCTATCACTACAGATCAATATCTTTATGCGTTACAGTAGCTCTGTAGAGGTTACCATCTTCAAGGCTACCGTCTTCTCAAGTTTGCCCAGTAACATACTAATTTATTTGCACCATTCGATCCAGCTGGTTCTCTACATTCAGAAAAACATATATCTTGCTGAGCGATTTTGCTTAGCTGAGGAGATATAGCAATTTTCTTGGATCTATTTCTACTAGCGTAGTCGCGCTGATCATTCATCCATATTGATCACTATGGAGCAATCAGTGCGTTAATATAGCAACAGGCGGATGCGATCTTCGAGCTAACCGTCTTCTCAGGTTTGCTCGGAAACATGTGATTTCTTTTCATCAATTCATCCAGCGGAATCTCTAGAATCAGAATATTATAAATTTTGCTGAGCAATTTGGCTTAGTTGAGGAGATATAGGTATTTTATTAATACTATCTCGGTTGGCACCTTCAAGGCTACCGTCTTCTCAAGTTTGCCCAGTAACATACTAATTTATTTGCACCATTCGATCATTGAGAATATTATATATTTTCCAGGTAATCCAGGTAATGCAATCGTTCAGGAGATATAGCTCTTTTCATAAAGCTATCTCAGCAACAAGCGCAAAAACGTTCATTCATATGCATTCTATCGCTATAGATCAATATCAATATGTTACCATGGCTCAATAGAGGTATTAGTTGTTGCGGGTATTGATTTGAACTTGAATAATTTGAATATGTTATATTTGTTGAATATTTTGTTGAACAAACTCTTTTCTGATTAATTATGATCATATTGATTCAAGGAAATGTGTGTAAGCATGTCACGCATCGATATTTCGAAAGTTGTTTGATCCCGGGATTGAAAAAACATCGGGATTTTGCAAACCCTAGTTATGATCAAGCGGACTCGTTTATTAACAATCAGTTCTGATGAGCAAATGCAAGGATTGTGTGCCATTCAGTAGGAGGATGCTCTGAACTGTGAGAATAGTACGTCCTTGACCGAAAGTCCTTAAATCTTCCGGAACAGCTCTCTTCAGCATATTTTTTCACGTTTGTTGCCTGCTGTTCTCAAGCTCTACGCTCAAATCTGAGATGATGACCATTCAACTTTGCAACAGGCATAGAGAACGAATAATTTTAAGGTTTATTTTTATATCATCGAAATATTATGTACAAAAACTTGCAGTCAACTGCACAGCCAAATTAGCTCAACTTTACACAAACTAATGAAATGGTGTCATACGAACAGCTGAGTGCCGAAGCCAAAACTTGGACCATTGGCATATTCCGAGTCGAGAGGAATTATACAAATGTATCGCATATAAAGGCGATAAAAGCAACCAGAGCTGAGTAACATACTGACTATAATTTCATATAGTTTCTTGTTGTTTCGTTTTTTTGATACGATAATAACGATTCAGCGCACGTGAACTACCTGTACTCAACAAAAACAATAATAAAGCAATCAGAATTATTAGTGTCACTATGAGGAACACGTATAGAGTGGTTAGTGGGAAGTTATTCGTCTTCCTTTCGACAATACCCTGCAAAAACACACAAATAATTGAACTTTTCCGCATGAATAGGGAATATTTCACTCGTAATGAATGAACAACTTCCAGATGAAATCTCACCGTTTCTGTGAGCAAAAACTATTTCCGAATTTGAATTCATGTTTTGAAATGGTTCAAAGCGAAAAATTCATTGATCGCCAAATTTGGGTGCGGATAATTCTACGATTGAATAAATCCACTTACTATCATATCTTCCACCTCACTTTTTCCAACGGCGATTCGTTTGTTCAATTCAGCGATACTCATTTGTCCACGCTCAACTACTTCATCGACACGTTTTTTGGCCTGCATTGACCGACAAGTTCATTTCATACATACAGACATAAACCAAAAGATATCAATTGATGCTCTTTCGCGATCTTGATTATGAAGAACTGATAGTAATGAAAGATTACTAGAACAAAACGGAATAAAACGAACGCTTATGACCAGGTCGTTGATCAATCCGCTGATATGCTCAACTTGACTAACGACATGATCAATTGAGGCATTGTTAGGATTGATATCATAACTAGAGGAAGAAGAAGTTTGTTGAGGATTATTGTTTGGAACTGTTGATTCACCGAATGATACATAATTCAGTTCATCGCGATACTGACGATAATACAGTGCTGGATTATCGCCGTAATAAGCCATTTGCATTCTTTAGAAATATTATGCTCTGAAAAATTATTATGGAATATTTGTTACTTTTGTGAGCATGATAACTAACGACATGATGCTAATTTATTATCGTTTCTGCACATAAACAGCACGCTAACAATTTCCAATTATTCACATGGCGAATGCGTTGTGAAAATGACATTTTTAATTGTAGTGGTAAAATTTTGAACGAATCAACAATTCAGTGAACGTGACATACCAAACTGAAATGCTAATGTTATACAAACACACACGCAAAATTAAAATGATGTAGTAATTTATGAAAGAATGGTGATTTAATTCAAAAATTGATAACTTTCATTGATCTAATGAATCAGGTAAAGAAACGATGTGGTTAAATTATAGTATGGAATGAGCAAAAGAAGAAGTGAGTAAGAGTGATGTTGATAATGCTAATATTTATTCAAATATTGCTGCTAGTACAGTCAACATCCTAGCATAGTGTACATCACGTATGCCAGAGCAGTGTTTATCTATTATTCGTCATACACCACATACCACTTACATACCTGCCATAAAACACCCACGTCTTCAAAGTAAATACCTTCTTCGAATTATCTCATGTGATCATCCGAAGTATTTTCGAAGCCATTTTTAAATAGTTCAGTCCGTGAAAAGCAACGATCCATGGTTTGATAGTTATTTATTTTATCTGTACACAACAGCTATTCAAACAATCAACGTTATGTAATTTCAAAAAATAATAACAAAAGTTATTTTTTTAATGATCACAATTGACTGCTGCACTCGGATGGCATAACAAATAGGCGTAACAAGTGAAAATTTAATTCGCTTCACAAACCTCTGAAAAATCAAATCAACCTGAAGAATTAAATCGCTTGAGAACCGTCCTTTTCAGTTTCAAGCAAACTGCGATTGAACTGTGGAAGCGAAGGTGGATGATGAAAGAAATGATATCGAGCAATTCAAAAGTTCGAGATTTTCAATCGATCAATTCCATTATACATTAGGATTGTTTAATTTTGAGGTGCTACACCACAATTGTTAAGATTTATTCACTTCAATACTTACTTGATTGGTCTTTTCTCATCGGTTGATCTTTTCTTGGAATTCAGTTCTAAGTTCCATATCATTGGAATTCAGCCGTTTTGGACAGCATGTCTGCAAAAGTAAACATAAATGTTTAGCTATAACTGAATAATGAGGATGGAATGATTTTGTACCATTTCCAATGAGTCGTTTTTACTTGCTCCATTCAATCATTAAGTTCACTTTTCTCGTTTTAAATTCACCTGCAACTCGAGAAATCCTCAAAAAAATCTCATTAGATTTCGAAAAATAGGATCTGTTATCTGGAAAATGAAACGTTCCATAAAGGAAATTTGATCTCACTGATTAAGTTGTCAATGCACGATATTAGTATACAATGAATACAGTATACAATAGTTATTCGAATAATCCCTCTTTGAAAAGGTCTCAAAATAATACACAGGAGTCACTCTCTCACCTTAACACATTGTTTGTACCAAAACAGAAGGACAAAGCAGACAACCGCAACACTCACAATCACCAAACTTATTTTCAAAACAAGAAAAAATTCAGAAATTTCCACCATCAACTTCTCCATAGTTGTATTCACATTTTCTAAAGTCTGAAAACTATCTAAGTTATTCAGAACGTTCAAAAATTTCCTTCAGAAGATATTCAATTCCTTCATCGACTGAAGCCTGAATGACATACAAATAAGAACGAAAAGCGTAAATACTGATCTGCTAATTGAATTGGAAATTACTGAGTCCGTATAATTCGTGCAAAAGCGTTGAGGTGTGTGGAACATTAATCCCTAGTATAAACCTTAACAAGATGTATAATTTGCTCCGTTTCGTTTTTAACCATTATCCAATTTCTAGATTCACACCTCAGTGGATTCTAGGTTACATCCACTGATTTGAGAAAATTCTAATTCGCTATTTAAGTGACAGACAGAAGATACCTTATCTAATGACATTGTTCCAAATATGTGTCGATTAAGGATGATTAAGCTGGATCTTGCGCCTGCAACTTGAATTTTTACAAAACATTCTGATGAGCAATGTTAGTCATTATGAGTCGTGTTTCATATTTATGAAAAGTGTATCAAGATTCGATAAAACTTTTTTCTATTCATTATTCGATTCGGTTTCTACCTGCTCCTGTTTGGAGCAGTTTTGAAAACGGCCCGTCAGTAAGTGACCGACTGAGAAAATTGATAACTAGATTCTATTCTCCCGCTCATGAGCAGACTGTGGGCTGCAATATGAAAGTAACTTTCGAAAAATGAGCTATTGCAAGGTGGCTGTTAGCCGAAACTCAGCTGATGGAAGTAGAAGAAGTAAGACATATTAGGTATCATGCGGTTGATCGCAAAAAAAAGCAAAGGAGCGATTGATCAAGGAAATAGTAACGGTCTGCACTTCAATGACGATTCAAATAGTTCTCAAGTTGTTGGTTATTAACATTGCAGAGAGTTACAAAGGGGTGGAAAGGTGTTTTCCTTTGAAATACCATCGTCATGAAAAGCCCAGATTAAACCCCGGATAATGAAACTTACAATTTTCTGAATAATCCAGGTCTAGTTCTCAAACTGCGATGCCGAATACGAAAGCTTCCAAGATGAACTGCTTAATGCGATGAAGATGAGTACTCTCGCAATACTGACAATGTTGTGGTGATTATAAACATTTTATCAGTTTCTTATATCAGTTCTAAATATTTATCAGTTATCATCATCTCTTTCAAATTTATGAATCACTTTTGATACACATTCCATTCTTCGACTGTTTTGTACATCTTTGTACATAGTGCTTTTATCAACTCTCTTTACCATGTTCATGTCCTCAGCACGCAAGTTTCTGATGCGAATTTTTTTTAGTACCTTCTGGTGAAAGGAGTTGCAAACTGTCACGAAAGCATGCATGCTATCGCTGGCAAATATATAACTCCCGAATTCTATCCTCGTAAATAAGTGAATAAATGAATACAAGAATTATATACTTACAAGCGATAACATGCAAAATTTCCTAGCAGTTTACAACTTCTTTCACCAGAAGGGAAAATTTTTTATATGAAGAAAAGAAAACTCTGAAAAGTGAAGTTTCCACTTTACTGTATTGTTTTGTAACGTTTTATTCTGTATTCTTTACTTCCCACTTTTATTGCATTTTCGTGTTGTTTTTATTCAATGTTTCAATACTCAGCTGTTCGCAATGACCATTGTTATGGACTTTCATATTGTACGTTCGCTTTTGACTTGACGACTGTTCAATTATATTCATTAGTGTTCTTTGGTTGGTTGAAATTAACAATTTCCATTAACGTTTCGATGCTTGCTTACTTGTTATTACTTTTCTTATTTGTTACTGACTCTTTAGTGTTATTTGCTTATTGTTAGTATTATTATTGGCTTCAAAAAATCGGATGCAATCAAACAAAACCATTAGTCCAACTGCATATAATGACGCATTGGAATATTGCCTATTATTATGCAATTTTCCTGCCTCTCTGATTGCTGTGATGGTTAACTTCCCTTATGGTTTCATGCTGTCAGCAAAACAGTTAACTGACGAGCAAAGAAAAAACGGCCTCCAAAATCGCATCGCTTAAACAATTTGTGAAATGTTCATTAAAAGACAAACTCGATATGATGCACTACTTTAAGGAAGGTCGAAGTACCAAGATGAAATCGATAAGATGCTCTGGTTTGCTGAGGAAGTCTATGATTCTTTTATACCGTCTTATTTACAATTAGTAGACTGTCTACCTCATTTACGAAAAATCTACACATCCGAAAGATCAATTTCTAAACGTGTTGAGCGATTTCATTTTACTGAAAATTTCAAAATATTTGATCAACGTTGCTCGAGGAATGCAGCATCAAATTCAAGTAGTATGTTTGCTTAGTTTTGCTGACCAAGACGATGAAGGGCACTTTTTTACTTTGGGGGGGGGGGGTCGCACGCAAGCAAGCTCGCGCACAATGATAAATGAAGTTCGCGAAGCTGATTTTTCGGAATCAACGAAGAATATGTTTCTGAGCTGCAGATGTATAAATTTCCTTATTTAAAAGTTCCTAATATACGAACATTTTAAACGACTTTCCTGATGAGATTTCTGAAATAGATATCAGACTGCTGCACGTAACGAATTGAAAATATTATCAAAGCATTAAGTTTCGAAATGTTTTCATCTAACTACCAGATTTGATCAGAGGCACTCGGACCGCTTGGATCGTTTGTGCCCGTTCATAACACGAAATGCTAATTATCTGATGATCGCACTTTGATCTACTCGATCACATAGCTATGAATTACAATCATCATGAACTTCAGGTTCGGGCAACCTATGACCTTAATGCTGTTAACATCACAGTTTTTTTCTGAATCTGGCCTACAGAACACAACTTTCACTTGTTTGAATAGAGCATTAAAACTACGGTATAGTGCATTAATTTCATCGAGATTCGCTAAAATTTGAGGGCAACTCCATCGAATGCTTCGAAGCTCATTGAAAGTTGCACCCACTTTACCTGTTTCATTCAAGTCTTTCTCAAAAATGCAAAAACACCGTTATCCAATGATGATCGTCTCAGTGCCAGGCTTCTCTCGCGATTCCATTTGGTCATCCAGACGCGTATACTCCTCCTCTGATCTTCTTACTTTTTTCGCAAACTTTCCCTATTCTATGTAGATTTTCCCTATGTAGACAATGTGCCACTCCGACAATGCCTCATCATCGGGTAGCGTGGTGATTTTTATAGGAGTTTAGACTTGTTGCGGACGTATTTGTCGGTGACCGTTTTATTTTGATTAAGTATCGGTTAGGAGTTTGGCAACAGAAGCCAAATTGCAGTGTTGACGTGACAAAGACGAGAGTGACTGCTCAATTTGTTAATGTTTGATTGTTTTATCGCTGAAACGAATCTAGGTCAGACATCTCAACGAGCATTCGGTGAAGTCATTTAAAATTGATCATCACGTCGTTATGTTTCAGTGATATTCCTTTCGGTTGTACAAATGATTGTCTTTCGTTGAAGTTTTCTGTTGTCGTTAATTTTGATCAGATTTGTCATCAACTACCGTTCTTAACTGGTCATCTAACTGGCGATTATTGCAGGTAACAAACAGATTGGCTTCATAATACACTGAAATTTTAATATATCTGATAAGCAAAATGGCTAAGCCTGTAACGCGCGATGAGGTCAGATCGGCGTTCATCAAGTTCTTCGCAGATCGTGAACATACTTATGTTCATTCTTCATCGGTAATTCCATTCGAAGATCCAACTCTTCTATTTGCAAATGCTGGCATGAACCAGGTAATCTTTCTGTTTGAATAGAACCTTCTTTTTGTGAGACGCATAATAATTTTCATTGTTTGTGATAATTAATAATCAATTGATTGGCCGTTTTTCTATTATTTCTGAAGCATTATAATGTCAACCATTTGAACGTTTATTATTATGCGTTGTCCTCTGATAAGGTATTGTTCATTTCAGTTCAAGCCAATATTTCTCGGTAGCGTTGATCCAGCAAGTGAAATGGCTCGTCTTCGTCGTGCGGTAAATACACAGAAGTGTATTCGAGCAGGTGGTAAGCATAACGATTTGGACGATGTCGGTAAAGATGTTTATCATCATACGTTCTTTGAAATGCTCGGGAATTGGTCTTTCGGCGACTACTTTAAGGTTCGATTTTCATTTTCATTACTCGATCTTGCAGTGAACATCAGTCAGCTTATTTTCATTGAGGCTTATTGTTGGCCGCGCTGTCTCTCGTTAAAGTCATTAATTATTGTTTCCTTCGATTACTAAGCATGCAGATCAGTGTATATGAATTGTTCTCGTGCAAACATAAAAATTCGAACATATGCTGCAGCAACTGAGTCCTTATTGCTCAAACATTATAGAGTGTTGCCTCATATTGCAGTATTTTTTAAGATGTTGCGAAGAGACGCATTTGATCCTGATGCGGATTAGATTTATTTGTGCTCGTACATAATATCAAGTCCACTTTATTAGTCATTTTGTTGCATCGTCAGTATTTTTTGATAAGGAGCACTGAAAGAATCCCTTGTTTTCTGTTCTGAGTCAGGTTTTTGCATGAAATGAAACGTTCAAATCAAAGGAACGATATTTTCAGAAGGAAATTTGTAATTGGGCATGGGAATTGTTGACGAAAAAATTTTGTATACCAGGAAATCAATTGTATGTGACTTATTTTGGTGGTGATGAAAGTGCTGGTTTAGGTGCAGACGAAGAATGTCGACAAATTTGGCTTGATATTGGGTAAGCAGTCTTCATTTTTAACCAGCGTTTTGTTTTGAATGTATTTTGAAGACCACTCCATGACAATTTCACTTCATAGTATTTATTTCATCGGTGTTTCCTTTGTCGTGTACTTTTGCTTTCGAGTATCAGTGTTTGGAATTGAATTTAATTTTCAATTTATTTTAGTTTTTCATTACGTATTTATGTTGTTTCATAGGGTACCCGAGGAACATGTGCTTCCGTTCGGTATGAAGGATAATTTCTGGGAAATGGGAGATGTGGGACCTTGCGGACCTTGCTCAGAAATTCATTTCGATCGCATTGGTAACAGAGATGCATCTCATTTTGTGAATGCCGATGATCCTATGGTCGTCGAAATTTGGAATCTGGTCTTTATGCAGTTTAATCGGTTAGCTTTGAAACCATTCATGTGACTTTTTCTCTCAGCTTTTCATCACACTTATTCTGCAGTAAAAGCTATTACCAGTGCACAGTAGCGCATTCATAATGCAGCTGGGTTTCTTCAACGCGAAAATAAATACTCAGATGAACGCATTGTGAGGAATAACATGAATGTTATACGAATGAACAAATTGTAGTGAAGAGAATGGTGCTCTACGTGAATTACCAATGCGACACATTGACTGTGGTCTTGGTTTCGAGCGCTTGGTAGCAGTTATGCAAAATAAAACATCTAATTACGATACAGATGTATTCATACCTATTTTTGATGCCATACAAGCGGTTGGTCTCGATAAAATACTTTGCTTTTTCTCTTACCATTTTACATTCATTTAAACAAATGTACGATTGACTGTATTGCACACATTGGTAAATAACTCATAATGTAGATATTATTTCTTCGATCATATCTTTTGAAATTTGAAAATAAATTCCCAGTTGTATAACAGGGAGCTGGTGTGCGTCCATACAGCGGTAAAGTAGGAGCCGAAGATACGGATGGTATAGATATGGCGTATCGTGTAGTGGCTGACCATATTCGTACCCTTTGTGTGGCACTTTCGGATGGAGGGCGACCTGATAGCACTGGGAGAGGGTTGGAATTATTCATTCATTCAGTTATTTTTACCCCTGATTTCATTGTTTGTATTTTTCGCAACCTAATACCAAATAATTGCTTTTTTGATGAAGTTGTAATTGCAGTTTAACGCTGAATTCTCGGTTTTCAGCTACGTTCTGCGTCGTATTTTGCGTCGTGCTGTAAGATACTCGAATGAAAAACTTGGTGCAGCTCCAGGATTTTTTGCATCATTAGTACCAGTAGTTGTCAACCTATTGGTAATTCGTTTCATCGTTCAAGACTTTTGGTCGTTCATCAGCAAAGACGTATAAATTACAATATATAGAGTATAATGAATTGCAGGGTGAAACATTCCCAGAGCTGAAGAAAGACCCAGAGACTGTAATGGATATCATCAACGATGAGGAAACACAGTTTCTGAAGACGTTGAACAGAGGTCGTGCACTTTTCCTTAAAGCGATTGCTGCATTAGATTCGGACGTTAAAGTGTTCCCAGGTTGGTATTTTACGAGTTGTGGTTCTTCTCTAGTAGATACAATCATGTGCTTGTTATTTGTTGACCAAATCAAACGTTAGGTGATGTTGCTTGGCGTCTTTACGATACGTATGGTTTTCCTGTCGATTTGACGCAGTTAATGGCTGAAGAGAAGGGATTAACACTTGAGATGGATGCATTTGAACGTTGCAAGCAAAAAGCCATTGTTAGTCATTTTTTGAAGCTGATTTTCTTCAAAACAAATTTTGTTTATTGAAAAATGGTGAAGCGTCGACTGTTCTCATCACGTTTCGATTGCAGGAAATGTCGAGCGCGAACTCGAACAAATTACGAAATGCGGTCGATTTGGATGTGCATGCAATTGCAGATCTTAACAAGAGAGGCATACCAATTACCGATGACTCTCCGAAATACAATTATTCGGCAACCGGTCCAAACGATGTCACCGCAAAATACAGTAAAAATTCTTTCCTTTCTGCATAGTAATCAATAAAATAGTGTGATCTATAACATATTTAACTTTGAAGATTGAATTTTGAAATCATAAGAGAGCGAGAGCCGAAAAATGATGGCAGTAATTGTAGAACCGAATAACTTCAGTAATTTAGAATCTGATATGATCGCAAGTTTCAAAAAGAAAATCGCGCGTTGAGGATGCGATTTTGTTTTACTAGCAAACTCATTCAATATATATGATTGCACCAGCAAAACAATGTGATAGTTTATGATGTACAGGTGGCATGAATATTCTCTATCTATTTAATATCTTCATTGAACTTAATTAAGGCTTTGCAAAATGTGAGGGTAAAGTGTTGGCATTATTGAAAGAAGGCAGCTTTGTTGATTCGTTACGGTCTGGAGAAACTGGTGCTATCATTTTGGACAAAACGAATTTCTACGCTGAACAAGGAGGACAAATCTATGACACTGGTGTTCTAACGAAAATTGGCGACGAGGCAATTTTATAAATTTTTCGATTCTCATTGAATTTCTTCACTGATGATGAAAAACTAAGTCAGTAAGCATTCAAAGTGGGATTTGAAGAGCAGTACATCTAAATGTTACAAATAATAACTGAAATTGAAATAGTAACTGATTTAAAAGTTATCTTTCGACGAACAATTCAAATACATTGTTGTCTACATCCGAAAATATACAGTTTGTTTTGTAGAGTAATACCGATTTCGAAGTATCCGATGTGCAGTTGCGTGCTGGATATGTAGTGTTGATTGGTGTGACTGAAGGTGAAATAGATGTTGGTGATTCGTTGATAGAATGCATTGATGAAGTATGTTTCATTCTGTTGGAGAGACGCACGCTTATTTTCTGTGTGATTAGCAACTCACTCATAAATCTGTTCAATTATTCAACTGAAATTTTTTACTTGTGAATACTTTTCGCGTATCGATATGATGTGACATCTGGAAAATGACGACAACATGTATGGAAAATAAGATAAAATTCGTTCAAGGAACGTCGAAGCCTAATAATGAAGAATCATACCGGTACTCATGTGTTGAATTATGCGTTGAGAAAAGTGTTGGGAGATGTGGAACAAAAAGGGTCTCTGGTAGCACCAGATAGGATGCGATTCGATTTCTCGGCTAAACAAGCTCTAACTGTCACACAGGTCTGTTTCCTACTTCAGTGATAAATAATGATCAGACGTTACAGTTTTTGGTATTTCATCACCCAAGAGCAGTCAGTTAGTTACTTGATATGTTCAGTAATTCACTGAAAATACTATATGTATGAAACATGAGTTGAGTAGATGTGCTTATGCTTTTGTTTGTTTGTAACTGACGAGAACTGCAACGTCTACTCCCTCCATATGGATGTGTGAATGTTCTTTGAAATTTAGAACGAACAGCATCATTCGTGTCGTTACGACGATTTTTTCGATGAATTAGAAACATGTATTGATTTTGCTCTATATTCCAGTTTCATGTTATTATGTTCATTTGATTTTTACAACTGGTTATAATTATGAAGGTTCGGGAAGCAGAGCAGTTAGCCCAACAAATGGTTGAAACGCAAGCAAATGTGTTCGCAAAAGAAGCACCGTTGGCCGAGGCTCGCGAAGTGAACGGTTTACGTGCTGTCTTCGATGAGGTTTCGTCGTTTCGTCGATTTTTTTTCATTAAGAGCTGTTCCAGTTTGCGACCTGTTTCATTTGGAAACTGACAACTCGTATCGTCGTAGGGAACTGCTTATGGAAAAGGACAAATTAATTGATTGTTTATCGTCATTGACGCTTATTGTCAAAGTCTGAATTCTTTTTGAAAAGGTTTTCTATCCTAAAATTATAGGCATATCCAGATCCGGTTCGTGTGGTCAGTGTTGGCGTTCGTGTTGAGGATCTACTGGCAAATCCGAGCAGTGATCTTGCAGTAAATACGGCTGTTGAATTCTGCGGTGGAACGTATGTTCTTATGACATGCGTTTTTTGGCTTTGTTTATTGAGAATATTACTATCACGGTCAACTTTATTCTCTGTGGGAAATTATTGAACAAGTGATTAATGTGCGAAATTTTGGAGTGAGTGATATTTTTAGTTGTTAATAGATGAATGCTTTGCTGATGAGAGTAGAAATTACTGAATGCAGCGATCGTTCAGACATTTGCATAACGTCGGTCATATCGGACAGTTAGTGATTACCACAGAAGAAGCGATAGCCAAGGGTGTGCGTCGAATGGTAGCGGTGACTGGACCTGAGGCAATACGTGCCGTTCAACGCGCAGATCGTTTCGAAGCTCGTGTGCAAAAGCTACATGACCAGGTCACTGCTGACCGTTCGATCGTGAATGACCGTCAACAATTTAAAAATGCCACAAAATTGGTCAATGAACTAGTTGAGGTTCGTGTGTTGCTCATCCACACTTTATTATTACACCAGTACAATCAAACAGATTATCAATGACTGGTGGTTAGCGTAGTTGAATCGATGACCTGCAATAAAATATGAACCTATCGTTGTATTTCATCCATTGTTTATTCGAATTACCACTTTGTGATTGTCGAGCTGGTGTTTGTTCTATTTTCCTTTTAATTCAGAGGAAAGCTATTTCTTTCTGCATTTTCATTTTGTTCGGTATTTTTCAAGGAAATTAACCAAGCACAGTTGCCGTATTGGAGAAAGGATGCAATCCGTGATAAGGCGAAAGGTATACAAAGATTGCTCGATAAATTGGATCGTGAAGCTAAGGCTGCAATAGCTGAGAAGGTCTCTTTCTATGTGTCATTCGTTTTTTTGCACTTTAATATTATTCCTTTTCTTGAATTGAGTCGTAATCGATGAAGTGCCGAAACAACAGAGATTCGTTTAAATTGTCCATTGGAGTACGGTTCGAGAATTGAGTTTGAAATGCAAACTGCCTGAAGAGTATGGTAAAGTTGGATTCGAGGCTGTTTCAATAAACACTCGTAATAGCTGTTCGCATTGAACAATTGATTTACTAGTTAAAGGTCAGTATTAACACGCTACTTCTTTCTTACAGGTACTTGAAGAGGCGAAGCAACTTGAGAGCACACTCAACAATAATGAAAAAATTTTAGTGCATGTTTTCGCTAAAGGAGCCAGTGGTAAGGTTCGTATTTTCTTACGTTTGGCATCGCAGTTAATTGGTTCGATTGATGTGTAATTTGTTTACAAGCATTCTCAATTAATCTGAACGTCAAATTATCTCACTGCCTTATGAATAATATTGCGTATATTTGAACATTATGAAATCATATGTACGTTTTCACATATTTGTTGATGTCGCAACTGTCTGAAATCATATTCTTATTTGAGACAAAATTTTATATTTGTAGGCATTAGATGCTGCGTTGAAATCTTTCAAAAAGGCTCAAGCAGTGATGGGTTTTTCGGTGAATGAAGAGACCGGGAAAGTGACAGTAGTTGCAAAAGTTGACAAGGTAAGTACGGTTTTATGTATTCGTTTATTTCAGACATTTCAGTGATTTTACTGGTTTAATTCATTCTTTTTTTCGTCGTCATTAATTCATTTTTAACTATTTACTATTGATTAGTTGAGTGAAATGTTCTAATAGAGCATTGTTTTAAGGAGTTAGTAGCAGTTGGTTTGAAAGCACCAGAATGGATTAGTAAGGTGTGTGAAGTGATCGGTGGACGTGGTGGTGGTAAAGATATGCAAGCACAAGCAATTGGTAATCATGCGGAGAAGATAGAGGAGGCTGTTCAGTTAGCGAATCAGTTTGCAAAGATGTCACTGAAATGAATCATCGAACGGTTTCACTGTTGTTACGCGTTTAATAGAAATTCTTCCTTTCTTTCATCACATCCCATTGCATTGTTTGAATTGATACCCCGGGAACTTATTGGTCGAGTTGTTGGGTCGAGAAATAATTTGTTGTATCTGTAATACAGTGTTTGGTTGATAGAAAGATCGGCTGAGAGTTAGTGGTGATTACTGAAGTGGATTTGAAAATGCGTGAATTGAGTTGAGTTGATATTGCTTCTTTGCTCTACAGTCGGTTTTTAAAATGTCGAAGAGTGTAAGAGAAAGACGTTGACGTGGAAAAATTCATGATGTTGATCAGAAGGAGAGAGAGGAATACCAGATTATGGCGTGAGTGTGGTCACTTCAACAATTAAAGCAAATTCAACCGTAAACTTTCTCAAAATTCGATATTTTCTCTCCGTTCTGAACACTTACTTCATAATCACTTCTTTCGATCAGTGTTTTTGTGAGTTGGTCTGACTTGAAATTGTCTTTTTGCGTATTCGGTTTTCTAGTGATTTATATGCTTAGACTAATCGTTCAGGGCGAATGAAAGGGAGTCTTCTGCAATGTTTATGATACGGTGATTTGTTAAGTGGATGTGACGCGTTAATTATTATCAATCGTTGTTTGTGATAATGCTAAATTAATTTAGTTGTTATTGTTGTTATCGTTCTGATGATTGTTTTCTTCATTTGAATGTGGGTTTTCGAGTGATTGTTGGTAATTGTTTTCTTTGCTAACGTGCAAATGCGAGATTCACTTCTTTTTGATATGGTATTCGTTGTCCGGTGCTTCACTCATCCATCATAAAGCATCTTTGCTGGTCGTCTATCTATATCCGCTTCTAAAAAGCTTTCGAATTCGTCCAATTACTGCTTCTTTCAATAAATGAATTATGCCGTCAATAATGAAATTCATTCCTAAACAGTCATTCTCTTTTAACTGTAAGTTTTCATGTCTTTAGAAGAGCAAAAACGGAATACGGCCAACCAGCCAGTCATCGAATCAGTGCTCGTTGTTCAATTAGGAACAAAAAATGTATTATTTACATTGAACAGAACGATAGATACGCATTCAAATCAAAATTATCTCATCAAACTGGAGAAATGATGCAGAAATTAGCGCATAACTTACAATTAGGCTGTTGAGCGAGGAAAGCAAAAGGAAAGATTATGCAAAATAATCGAATGTGTAGTATGCGTATGAAAAGAACGTCAACAATCGTAGTGAAAAGAATATTTTAATAAAATTACACAAAAAGACCAAATCAGAATTGTATTTTTAAGTGAATTATCCGCATTTATGAAGAATTATTTTTAAAAACGAATATAATGTGCAGAAAACTTCACAATTTGACGTAACTTTTTGAAATTTTGAATGAGCACAACATATGAGCTTTACGAAGAAATTTCTCATAAAATTGAATTGTCACTGAGCGCAATTTCATTAAGGTTGCTGAAGTTCTATGTGGAGTCGTTCAAATTTGTTCTGAATAAATGTTGAGTTGGCTCAGTCTCAACAAACCGAGTGGTGTATCAATGTCACTTGGTTTCGAGCATGTTGTCGAGACTGGGCCAGGCCATCATTTCACTTGTATGTGTTCGTAGTAATGTGGATAGAAAAAAATACACTAGAGCAACTAAAGCGTATGATAATGACAAAATTCAAGCACAGAGAATTGTTGTTGCAAGACGACAGACTTACGAAGAGTAATCGGCCGACATGTGTTTATTTGAACAACAATTCAAATGACAACAACACCTCATCGTTTTATACAATAAAATCATTACTCGATTAAGAACGGAACAATTAAAAACCCGTAGATAAGAATCAGACACAACAAAATTGATAACGTTGCATCATAATTAACTTATTAAAGAGATATTTCAACATCACATCCAAGTCAAACAACACAACAATCATTTATTCGTTACCGTTAGATAGTATCTACAGCTAATGCACATAACAGAAATGAATGAGGATTATTCGTCATCTTCTCTTCTTCAACCTCAACTACACATCCGATAGATTCCACGACCATGCCAACCTTAAATTCGCCAAACGCTCTTCTTCCGATACCGATGTATCGTGACACGCAGCCAAATACCGATTCGATTTTGACCAAAATTTACCGAACAACTGATGAACAAGCTTTTCACAGAACACCTGAAATAATGACAACACAAAAATTGGCATCGATTAATATCGAGTAATTTTCATAGGGTTAAGATGACAACACATCAAGTTAATTACGTTTTGATTTAAATGAGAATTCTAGTCAAACGCAGAATTGAATACGAAATTTTCCATACGCTAGTGAATTTGCATCTCAGAAGTTTTTTTTTTTTTTCAAACTGTACAACGTTCAACAATAAAGTATAAGGCTCACTCGAACATTATTATTCGTACGTGTTGTACAATAACCAATAGTGCTATTACACTTAGCAGTGCAATCGAAGAAGGTACAATCACTATCCACCGAACAAGTACGCGATGTTAAAAGAGAATCTAATCTCGATTTTGTGTACAACATATCCGCATCCATCACCATGAACCTGATCAATGCATATCAAAAACTCAAATAATTGATTGGAGAAGAGAATAAAGAAATCATTTTAGATGGCATATGATATGGAGTATTGAATTAAAAGTAATTTGCTTATTGTATCCTCTCATATATAGGATTAAAAATAATTCAATACAAAATGCATTGTCGTTACCTTTTTGGATAATCAGCTGCAAGACCCAAATTATCAAATTTGACATCACACCATTGCAGTGGTTCATTCAAGAATTCATCAAATAATTTTAATGTTCCCATTAAATGTACTAAAATCTTTGCTTTTAAATTCATATAATAGCCTTTCATACGAAATGCAATCAAATGCTCTACTTGATAGAAATGACCACATGTTCCGATTATCTGAAATTTTGTTCCAAAAAAAGCGTCGAAAACTATCGATTATGATGATGCAATGGTGTTATTTCCCTATCGCTTTTAAAAAAGCGCTTAAAATCGGTCAATTTATAGTTCGATAAATTTAAAGAAACAACAACGAATATATCCGAGCAAACGAATAAAACCATAAAATCCTGCGAATAAGATCAAATGGAAATTCGAATGAAAATTAAAATACTGTTTGTGCTATGCATATAAATGGTGACAGGCATTGTAATAAACAATTCAAAATCAATATAAACCTTCGGCGTAACCCTCGAAAGTGGCAACACTCTGAAAGTGATGTATTCATCTTGAGCGAGTAAAGCCCAAAGACTTTTACGATCTGCTTTCGACAATGGTTTATACATGGTTCGTTTATATATTGGCCATACCGTTTCAATTAAGTGCCTTTTATATTGAAGTGGCCAGCCTAATCGTACTGTATAATTGACTAAATCAAGCAACTAAAACAACAATCATCAGTGCTTATAATGAATCTGAACAAAAATCCTAAAAACAATGTAACATTCAAAACTTGAATATAACGCAAACAGTCAACTTGTTCTTCGTAGAATAAATCAAGTTTTGTTTCTTTCGTCGTCACTTTTGCACCACAAAAATCGCTTTGAAAACCGATAGACAATAAGGCAAGAATTTTCAGTAAATGCAAGAGTTCAATTTTAAGCGCAACAATGAGATTTGTTGTTCAAAAAAAGTGAATGGACATTATATGAAGATACAATCAGTGAATGTATTTATGGGTGATTATTTCAAATGAGATTGAAATGAACTAACTGCATCTGTGAAAGCCTCCTCATCAATGCGATAATCGAGTTGTTGAAACTGATCAATTGATGGATACTGACTTTTGAGTACAACGTCCTGTCCACCAATACGCAATATAATCACAAATTTACTACTCTCATGTAAATCAATTATTTTCCAATCACGATTCGAACATAACCGATTGCAAATATCGCCGCTCACTTCATTTGCCTCGAATGCATCACAGAGCGATGATAATACGCCATGTGCACTGAATTTAGCGCATTCATTCATCAAAATTTGCCTTTTCTTTTAACAACGCATCGATTCAATCCTTTATTCAATTCATATTCTTGAGAGAATTTTTGTGACTAAGGCCAAAAGTTACGAATTGATCTGGTTATTGTTAACCATATACATATATATCCCAAAATGGGATGAATAATAAAGTATGAACTGAGATGTGAAACACTACCGAGAACGATTAGAAAGGCTGAGATTCGAGGATAACGATGCTTGTTCAGCTTTTACATCATTACCACTGAAACCTAAAATTGCATTCAACTACTACTCAGATTTAATCAACGAAAAATATTGCAAATTAAGGGGAAGTTCCTTAATGATTTAAGAACCCTTTAAAATGTCCTAATGATTGACGAAATGAAAAAAAACTCATTCATACAACTGCTTCTTAATACAACCATGTACACACATAACTGGTAATCGCACTGTCATAATCTTTATTTTGTTGTAACAATCACGATACATTTACCATTCAGTTACGCTTCTCGTTTGTTTGATTCATATCCATTTTAATCAATTTATTTACGAAACACTATCATAAAATGCCGACTAGAAAATCAACCAATTCACAGAGATACTAGCAAAATGCAAACGCATTTAAAAACCTTCAATGCTCAATAAGGAATTTGAATTCTGTTCAAAAGAAGAACAAAATCATCAATTTTTCGTGTTCATTCAGGTTGAAAGTTTATTCGTATTATGCGATCTAGCGTCAGCAACTCGTTGCACAAAACACAGAACACATGCCAGATATGAAATGAAATAAAATTGAGAATTAGAAAGCAAAATGAAAACTTACTCGAATAAATCAAATAGATAGATAGTAACGAAACGATGAAAAGCATTAAGCGACCTAGTTTTGACCGGTATATCAATCGAATTGGATGTAGTTGTTGTTGGGATCTAAAGGAACAAATCAATGATAAATGATGCGCTGAGAAGTGAACAATTTAAAATTTAAGAACACATCAAAGATCCTATACATCTTTGATTTCTCTCATTTGCATTTCTTTCAGAAATTTTTACTATCAAATGCTGCCGTTGATACATACTGAAAAATTATCAGCGAAACGGGATGCAACAAACGATATGATAAGAGAAAATAAGATAAGACGATATTTCGCAGAGGTGTATTTCACTGTGGTGAATATTTATACGGCAGCTTACAATCAAAGAGTGCAACTGTATTCCTTTCGTACAATATTCAATGAAGCATTTTGATGAAATGCAACTTAGTGCTTTTCATAAAACGTAGATGATTAGAAAAAACAAACAAAAGTTCATACAGAAGAAGATAAAATCTTTTTTCAATGACAATCAAAATAACAACGATAATAACAATAATCACTATTGTAAAAGCAACATTTATTATTATTACTCTTTTTGTTATGATAATACATTCAACTGCTATTCACTATTAACAGTAATAATCTAAACACTACGTGCTGTAATCATAGCCACAAAAATATTTTCGTTATTAGAATTAACATTGTTTAAAATTTTTGTTACTAGGATTAATTTTTTGGTTGGAACTAATAAGAGATAAAACGAATATTTGGCAATGGTCAGATGATTCATTGAAAATGGTGATGCACTTTGTTCTGCTAGAGAAACAACTCAACGCCGTAAAACATTTACATCGCTCATTGGAAACCTTTAAATGCGTTGCCCATAGCAATACATCTGTGCAATTTAAACAAATTATCCAACTTGTATTGAATTCATCGGTGAAAATTATTCAAGTGAACATGAGAACAGCAAATAACAATAAAGTCTAGCTACAAGTAGGCATCAATCAACAATGAATCAATTACCTGTTGCTAAGAAATTAAATTCTGAATACGAGAATCGTTCAATCAACTTAAATTACCCACTATTTCTATAGCTAAATTCAAATAACACCCTACATGAATCGATCGAAACAAATCTTCGCAAATGCAAAATAGAACAAACGTTTTAGCATTTCCTTACTCAACTAAAAACCAGTTAGACAAAAATACGAAACACATAAACCTACCCATCTCTGCAGCACGAAAATGATTTAATTTACGAATGTATGGCATAGAAACAAATGCAGTGAGCAATTCGATATCGTAAAATGCTAATGATGATAGATAGAATGTGATGGCAAAATTTGTGGACGGCTTAAGAAATGATCGTGACCCTATGCGACCATAAGAATAGCAGAAATGATGTTATGACATTATATGCATAAATCGCTTATACATCTGGTGCATTAACGATATATCAGAGTTATCAATCAATTCTAATGAATAAAAGGTGATGTTCATTCCAAGATGATTATATATGCATATATATGGAATATCATTTTAAAATACATTTGAAAAGAGATGAACCAAAACACATAACTGATATCAAATCACATTTTAAAAGTTTTCATAGCTAGACATATTAAGGAATGAGATAAAGGAAAATCATACACGATAGATTAATCTAAACAATAGGAGAGCAGCTCAAAGAAAGTCCTAGTGCAGCCCAGTCGGCTTATTTAAATTGTTTGCTTGTCGAGAACGCTGCAAAGAAAACGCGTTCGAAAACTAAAGGGAAGAAGATGGACAGGATAGAAACCATTCTTTGTTTCTAAATGACAACAAATTAGTGCTAATAGAAATATCACTTATTATTAATATAGGTTCAACTAAAAGTGTTCATTCTGATCGATCACTCTCGAAACTTATATGTACATTTCTCAATAAACTAATAACAAAACCATCATTAATTGCAACCAGAGGTTTAGTGACCATGGAAGAGCATATTATAACTTGCACTATATTAACAACAAAATAAAACTCAGTATTATCAATACGCGGCTCTGCCAACTTAACGCTTTCATTCATAACGAATGGTCATCACTCGGATAAATTGTTAAACTTTATCGTAACTATTGATCAATGCGAATGTTTTAACACTTGTAGATTGATAATGAAACAGGATATGCATAGTTATATTGGCTGTAGTCAATATCCTTAACACTTCAATATCGAATGATGTAAACAAGTTTTGAAAAGCAAATCAGACACAACGAGGAAACTTATAGAGCGTTAATCAAATTGAATCTAAATTTTGATGAATATCAATTATCACTTATTGAACTATAATAAGCGAATGAAACTCCGCAATATTGGTCCCATCTGATGAATCACGACTGACTGACACAACATCCCCCAAATTAGTCATTACTTCGACTGATTCATTTGAGAATCTTCAAAATTTTTATCGCTCATTCATTTATGCATATTAAAAACCATCGGTTAGCACTCTCATAATAAACCAACAAAATCGATTGATTTGTAATTCTCAGATATTTAAGGACTTTTTTCGAGCAATAAAAAACGAGTTTTCTGAAGGAGGAAGTATTTTTTACAGGATTCATTAGATTTGCTGTTTTTGGATGTGAATAAGCACAATCGATATGAATATTCAAAAATATTCGCAAATTAATCAGTGTGTTGCTATGAAATTGATCGCCAAAGTTGAAACACACACATCAATCGTATACAAAATGAATGAATATTGATATAAATTTACAAGAGAAGAACGAACGCTGTTTTATTCGGTGACGTACAGCAAACGATATTCAGAAGATCCTCGTCGTCGCTATCATTTGATAAGTCAGCCACATTCGAATTACGTTCATCTAACAAATCAATACTGTCGTCCCAGTTGATCTCGTCATTCAGTGTATTCCGGTCGTTTATAATGTTCTACAACGTATTTTTTCATATATTCATAAATTGGTGATATGTTTGAATTATTTATTTATTTATATTCAAATTAATTCCAACAAATTATTTCAGCATCATCAACTTTAATGTCGAAAAGCTGAATAAAATATTTGTTGAGTTGACTTTCACCGACTTTTCTTACTTTCAATTCAGATGAATGCAATTTTATTGAATCAGTGATGCGGAATACACACATTACAAACGGTGGTTGGAGAGCAATGATTACGTCAGCATTTTAATGTTCGTTTGTGAATAGCTAATTATCAACTAGCAGCTGTGTTCTTGAAATCAGGAGAATAAGAAAACTACGGCGTGCACAGAATTGGCAATATGCATGGCGAAACGAAAAAGGTAAATATATGCGAATCAACCAAAATGAATATACTTTCCCATAGTCGAAACAGGAATAAGCGTAGTCAAAAAGAGCAGAATTATTCAATTTATTTTGAATAACATCAGCGCTATTTTTGCTTTCGATAGAATTATTCTCATTTTGAATTAGTCAAAAATATGAAGAAAGTGGCTGGTTGAATTTATTTAAAAGTTGGTTTATAACGAAGAAATAACTATTCGCTTACATAAGTAACCAATATTATCAGAAGTTTGTTAATTGATAGCACTGTTGAATCATGTTAGTATTTATGTAAGCAGGATGCGTTGGTTAGTGGTTAACGAATTACCGAATATATACCCCCTATTTCCACTCTCGTTTAATTATCACCGGCCATCAAGTTGCACACATCTGCCTCGAATCTTCCCGTGAAGTTGAAATACTACATTCCCCGGAGTACACATTCGGGAAAATATAAATGAATTTTAGTGTTGAATAGAAAGTTCATGCGTACATATTCTACTTATTAGTGAAAATAAGACAAACAATAAAAATGCGATGCTGTTGTCGACGGTGCAAATGAACGCGATTCGCATCCGAATATCGTATTAACCTCAGATTGAATTTTTTGGTTTGTCTCGAAACAAGAACGTCTTCCCTATTATGAAAGGACGAATTGCGTCTTTGAATGCCTCGATACAACCACATCACGTATACTCACTAGAACCTGAACGCACTTATATCAGCAATACGAGAAGACCAGCGAACGAAAGCAGTTATAATAAGAGTGAGTTATTAGCATTCAAAAAGCAATCAGTGAAAGGGGCTAATTAATAGCAATACAGATAGTGTGCACTTGAGGTGAAACAAAAATCAACAAACAACGAAGTGTTTTTGTCAAATTTGAAACGAATGGCTTAGCTGAAACATTAAGATTGCTTCTACAGTTCTTGAGGGGCGAAAATGCAGAAAAAGATTCTTTTGAAATTTGTACTCGACCTTATGATTAAACTTGGGCTCACGTTTAAGGCTGAGTTAAAGAGTGGGCTTAATGCAGAGATTTTAAAAACACGAGCAATTGAATTACTCAAGTGAGCCTACTTACGATTAGTAAGTTATTAAAATTGAGCCAAGCTTGCCATTAACGCAACTGGTCGAATTTTTCGCGAAACCCAAGATCTAGGCGCTCAAAAAACATCTTCTAAACTCAAACAATGTTAACAGTAAATTGGAAATGCAGTGGAACTATTCAGAATAATAGAAAGAAACGCATAAGGAAGAAAGGATGAGTGGCTGAAAGTGACAGATGAAATGAAATCGATTCAGTGAGCCACGAGAAAGAAGCATCCGATGACAACTGCTTTATTTACAGATGGATGGATATGTTTCGTCTATCTCATTTCTCATTCTAACTTTCATCATAAGGTTTCCCTTAAAAACTTCAACAATACGAGTCTTCATTGCCTTTTTCATACAAACATTTGATCAATAAGAACGAACCACTGCACAAATTTTAATTCCACAAAAAGCACCGCATCTTCGCGATACACAACTCGAAAACACCACTCATAATAGAGGGTTCGTTACGTGAGATCATTTTTAATATTCACAAAAGATTCTTCTGAAGAGAAGGAAATGCACTTTCGAGTGCACCAGAAACAATCACTTCTCGTTAGAATGTCTAAGTTGTCTTTTTTCCGCTTCATCTCATTATCTCATCACACAGTCATCCAAATAGAGAAAACTTCAAGGATCTTTCAACCTAATACAGCTCGTTTACGTTGGTAAACGAAACGAACGCTCGTTGAAGACGAAAAAACCGATATGAATTTATCAACATTTGTTTCCAGTGGTTGTTCTAAGGAAACTTCACACAGTGGAGGATGGAAATGAAAAGACTGAATGTTGGATCGGATTTAAGAAACCTTAATACTTTCAAAGACCACCTCAAAAGCAATTGGACGAATGATACAGTGGAAAAAAAATTAAGGCAAAAAGAAAATTGTTCCGATACAACTTTCAACAATTTCCGAATTCGTATTTGAAGAAATTTTCAACGTAGCAAATGGAGACACGAACAAAAACAATGAACAATAACACATTTCTGACTGCAAAATGTTGCGCTACTGGAAGATGAACAATAGAATTGTTTGGTTTTGCACAGGTTTGCGTAATGATTTAGTGTTGAATCGAAGTAATTAACGAACGAATCAAATCACAAACGATAATCATTAATGTGAAGCACATTGTTGTGAAATAATCGAGTGCTTTTTGTACTTAATGAATGAATTAAATAACTGAACGAAAGTTGCTCAAAGAACTCGTACGAATAGCAATTTATCTAACTTCAAAACATCTCGAATATTTTTCTCCCTTTCTTTTACTGACTTTTTTGAAAACACATATTTAAATTAAATTAAAAATGTTCCTTATACCCAAGGCTGGAACGGAGGCGAAATCAGGCTCGGCGCACCTGAAAGTAGCAGGCCAGGCCGAGGACCACAGAATTTTCTTGGATGCTCGTAAGCACCCGGTCCCACTCAAAGTACAACCCCAAATACAATCCTGTCTCATCCTTAACTATAAGCCTTCCCCACATGTGAATTCCTCCATCTCTGAAATGGCCCAATATCATACGGTATCTTCTTCGACGAAACGCATCGCTTTAGAGGAACTGCTGAGGAGATACTTTAGTTAAGGCTTCCTAATAAACGTATAATTGACGAATTTATTGAATTAGCTTTTGAAACGCTTAATTATAGGTCTAACGCTTATAGCTAGGATATTCATCCTTGTCGGTAAGCTACAAAACTGAATGATACAAATGCGACAACAGTGGTGGTCTTGAACCGGTCCCCTTCTTGAAAGGGCCACAATGTTGAGGTCTCTATTCACTGCATTTTGCATGGATCATCATTCAGTAGAATGCAGTGAAAACACAGTGATGCACTGGTATTAAAAGAAACGATGTCCATTCACAAATTTATCCCACAAATAACGGCACTTTTTTCAACGCCCAAATTGCAATTTAATCAATCAACAAATGAGGAAATATGTCTTGGTTCCGAGGCACAAATAATACGTTGATTTACTGCAGTGAACTCTTGAAATTAGAATTTAAGAACGAAAATCCACGAATACTATCAAAAAAATTCTATTTTCAAATAATGCAGTTGAAAAAATAAAAAATAAACTCACTATTACATTGATGTCGTGAAACAACGTCATTTATGCGCACGAAGATATTCTTCAGAAATAATATCCAAATCTGGTTAGTATAATCTGACAGTTGATAACTGATAACGATATGTGAACAAAACAAAGGAAGAATTCGAAGAATGCTAACAATGATAAGAATAATCACAACTGATGTGCACTCATATGAAACTATTCGCTGAAAGTAAACATTTCAACCGAAAAGGCGATAAAACGAAACTGCAAAGGTGCAAATACTATCTGACAAATCATTTGGCGTCAAGCGTTTATTTGATCAACCTCACCTCTTCACATTCATACCAACTACCTTCAACCAGGCCTATAACCACGGCAATAGGTTAAATAAGAGAATTTCGCTTCCTCTCATTCCTCTTGAAATTTTCGTACGACTAACAATTATAAACTTGTGAATGAATATTATGCAGATGAACGTGAACATCCTTAAAGATGCACGAATCCCTTTCAAATTTAAGAAGTCTACCACTCAGTATCTGAAGCTCTTACAGTCATTTTTAAGAGGAGTATCAAATTATCGGTTCTGAGCCAATGGACTGGACCAAGACTTGCAGGGCCGGACCAAAATTACTCCTGCTTTAACCAGGCAAATTTTGGCCAAATAAGTTTTGTTCCGGCCCGGCAAATCTTGGCTTAGCCTAGCCCTGCACGTCTTGGTCGGCACGGTGAGCCGCGACCGGCGATTCAGTTATCACTTTTTAAGCAATCATCATGTCAGATCACAACTAAGTGAACATAAAAGTCACCAACAAAAAAACAACACGAAAGATCCAAAAAATAATGGATGTTTTGAGAAATGAAAAGAAGACAACACCAGAAAATTTCTTTTTTTGATGAGGAAGTGAAACTGCTTCCACTCCAAACAATAAGATGCGAACCAAACTTCCAGACTTTTTTGGTTGTTTCTGATGGGACAGGTGATGTTGATGTGAACAATTTTCACACGAATACTGTTTTTTTTTGTTGCTAGATTGTACTTATCATTTTTTTGCAGAAAAAAAAAGATGGGAATGCTTCTCAATGAAAAATGTTTAACTAGCGAAAACGTATGAAAAAATGGTGTTCTCTCTTCTTCAGTTATTGACCGATGAATAAACAAACATTGTGCATTGATGATCAATTATTTACATCCTTTATGAAAACTGCGAGAACTTGCTTCAACAATTTCAGTGAGTGTTTGACAAGAAACAGAGCTGTGATAATTCAATACGCTAACAAACGATAACAAATTTCTCGATCAAGAAGAGAAGAAACAAAAGCAGCAATCGTTGATGACTAATCATTATTCGCTGTATGAAAAAAAAAACAATAACTAAAATTTGCATGTAAAAATGTGATAAATAAAATTTGATACGTGAATTTTTCGCCATTATAGAAGATTCATTGAAAAGCTGACGGTGCACACACAAGGGAATATAATAGAACAGAGCTGTTTCAGTGCTATTTATTAAAGTGTGTGAAAAACAAAAGAAGGGTGCACGAAACAAGACGAGTGTTTCTTGTTGTGATTTAACTTCAAGTGCAATCAGTATGCCACTTAAACGAAGCAACATAACGACAAAACGATCGTCTCGTCTCGTCTCGTCTCGAATCGATCATAAATGCCACCAGACTGCGTCCAAACGGCACTGCCTGCTGTCTACGATCAATGCCCAACAATCAATTACAAACATAACGGATATGCTGCATTCATGTGCACGCAATCTTACTAAATCATATTCGCATATTACAGCTGTTTGCATCATTCGGCTGGCATTATGCCTTCTGAATAAGTGCAAACAATAAGCAATGTTTGCTTGAGTGCCGGCCGTATCTTTTCTGAACATTTTATTTGTAGAATAGTGTTAGTTGTGATGTGTGCTTGTTAAAGCTAAAGTGAGTGGATTTGTTGTTTAATATTGATTTAGGATTAAGTTGGTATTTTGTGCGTTATTATCAAGGAACAATTTCATGAAATCAACGCCGTAGTTGTTGCGAGTAATCGATATTCGTTTGAATTAAGTTACTGATTGCGCGAAAAACTTTTAGTGGAAATGTGTTGAGAAATTAGCTGTTAGAATAATGGAAGGAGGACGGGTGAAATAAAGATGGAATTGCTGAATTTAGAAGACGGCATTTCAATGGAAACAAATAATCGGTTATGCGTGAGAAGAATCAATAACGAAGAAACGAAAATGAATGAAACGAATGCAGAACGTTCGTTCGAAGAAGCGAACGATTACTCAGATGAAGTCGATGAAACGATATCAAAAAATGAAATTATTAATCTTCAAGCAAAAGTAAACTTATCGTTACAAAATTTCGACAAATAATTCACCTGTCGAAAGTTTCATATTGTAAACTTGAACGCATCACATATACTAAGATGTAGTTAATTAATGAAGGAATGCTAAACGGCTGCTGATTCTAAAAAAAAAACTTTGAAATCAGTAACGATTTGAAACTTTTGAAGTTTCTTCTTATTTCTTGTTCATCTATCATTCATCTATCATTCACTAGTGAACGGAATTTACTTAGGTCTTTACAGGCTGCTGAATACGTTCGATTGAAAAAATGGGATGATGCCGAAGAAATGTATGCAAAAGCAATTGAGATTTGCCCTGACGTGTATGCAACAAAAAAGTTTGTTCCTTTAAGTTATTCGATTATTGCTGATTCGGTCCAGCGAAAATCTCTTTGATTGGAATTATGAAACTAGTATTGAATGATGTGCTGCCATTTCAAGTATCAATTTTAGTCACGTTTCAGGCAGGATCTTTATGATCAACATATTGAATGTTCTATGAATTTATCACTTTGGGAAGAAGCTATAAGTGATTGCGTAAAATTGCTTCAATTTAGTGAGTTTTTAATGCTCTCGAAACTAGTGCAAGTTTAGATTGCAATTCTTGTTTAGCACTATTACTTCAGAGTAAATTTTGAGGGAGAAGATGTGATTTCTTTTAAGTCAGCAGTAAAATTAATCTTGACGAGGACGAGAAATCAGTGTCAATACCAACGTTGGAATGAGTCTATTTTGCAGAGAAAATTGAAGAATAATTATGTGTTTGAGAATCATTCCCCAATACAGTGAAGTTCTCTTCAATATTTTTGTGACACTGATGAATTGGAGGATGTGCTTGTAATCACATTGCAGAACACATTAAAAATGAAATTTTAGAATTCAAATAGGTCTTTGCTAACGATCGTTACTGACTCCAAAAGTTTTGCAGATGCATCCAATGAAACAGTGCAAAAGCGCTGTGCTATGTGCTATGTGAATCTAATGAAAAGTGCTATTGAATCATTCGAAAATTGTCGTTTGAGTGCGTTGAACAATCCGATACAATTTTTCACAAAAGAATTCCATAATATAAGAGATATTCCAAATGAATCGTACCAATATGAGGTCAGTGATAAGCCAGTTGTCAACGAAAAAAACATCACCACGTTTTTGAGCAAATACCATGCATGCTCAAAATTACGTCTTTCCCATTTATCGGCATATTAAACATAACTGTTATACTTATATTATGCTTAAACTTCGTCCATAGTATTGAATATTTGAAATCATCAAAATGATTAATATGCTTCAATAATCATGAATCTTTTTTTTTAAACCTTGAAAATGACAAACTGAACTTCTAGATGAAAAGATTTGGCTTGAAAGACAGTGTGGTTTCTGAGGAATTACGAAAATTGGGCAACGAATATTATGTAAGTGGAAACTTCACGAAGGCCTTGAGAGTATATTTTGAGGTAAGTGTGAATGTATCTTTCAAATTGTGAATGAAAGTTACGATTTGAAATAATTTTTCAGTATAATGATTGTGATATTGTTTTTCTTTTTGTTCACACTGTTTCGGGGTCTACGCATTGTTGATCGAGGAAGTATATTTTGAATACTATTTTATTTCGATAAATGTTCATAACTTGCCGATTTAGATGTATACAACGATTCTATTACCGACTGCGTGAATGAAGTCTTTCCAGGCTTTCGATACGGCTGTACAATCTGATCTGACCTACTTTTTGGCCATGAAAAATATTGCAACAGTTCTCATGAAAATTGGATATCCTAAGGTCGTCCTTTACGCGCGTTTTTTTGCGAATAAATTAAAATTTCAACATTCAGTTTGCCACTCATATCGTTGAATTCTTGTTCCAAAAAAACTAGTAGAAGGTTTTTTCATTCATTCTAATTCATTTGAGGGTGGAGGGAGGGGAAAGAAAAAAATTGGTGTTTTGATTGCATTTTTCATCAAGCAGTAACTTTCAGGAGGCTCTCAAGCATTTCGATCGTCTTGAACGCAGTGCCGAAAAGAATTCTTCTGATAAACTGAATGCTGTTTTGTTTAGGTGAATTATTTTCGGATAAATTTTTCTTCACTGCTAACAAAGGTTAAAAAACATCTATGATTTCATTTTTGTCTTATTGCATTCTTCTTGTTGTGTTATATTCAAGATAGTTTCCTTTTATGAAATCATGCATCGAGATAAAATTCTGTAGGCTTAACGATCATCATAATAACAGTAATAATAACATCGATACTGTAATCATAATTATGTGTATTACCGCTATTTTCATTAATGTTTTTATCGTAGTATCAATTGTTACTAATGATCGCTTGCATAAGTCAACTATTGATAAAGCCATACTTATTTTAAGCAAAAAGATGAAAGAATGTCTGCGTTTACCCCAAACAGAATTCTACAAAACACCCGAACAGAAACTTTATAAAGGAGCAAACAAGACGTGCGAACAAATATCAAGTGCTGTTCGTATACAATACGATGAAGTAAGGGGACGTCATTTGGTGGTTAGTTAAGAGATTTTAATGTAGTTTTTTATGTAAAAATTTATGATAAAATGAGTTTATGTGTCGTGAATATAAACAGAAATAATATAGATTGATCATTTTCAATGAAATGATTCAACTGATTTTCAGCGATCTCATATTAAAATAGAGAAATTCAGTTGAATTGTTTATAATTTTATTGAGGTTTTTTCAATCTTCTTAGCTGTACGAATTGTCCGTACGGTTTTTTTATTAATTTATTCACAGGCAGCAGAAAATATTCCAGAAGGAATGGTTGTCATCAAAGAAGTACCTCTGGTTATGGCCGCATCAAACTGTGTTACTAGGTGCAAATATTGCTGTCGATTACTTCCACTCTCATATTTACCGTCAGTTTTATTTTATACTGATTGATCGAAATTTTTCGTGAATATTCTTTTCGATAGAAACGGAAATTAGGGAATATTCATAAAAAGAAAAGGAATGAATCGTTTGTCAAACGAAATTCTTTGCTTTTTAACTGTTTTGTGAAGTTGTAATTAATGCTCGAAATCTACTCGTTTCTATCTAATAACATCTTCAAAATAGATGCGAGAATTGTAACGCACGTTTCTGTGATGAGAAATGTCTTGAAGAGGGTGCATCCATGCACTCATTGGATCATCATTATGGTGGTGAGAATGGGTTGAAAAGCATTGGTATGTGCGAACTTATTGCAAAAGCAATTAACGAGTATTCTTACGATGAACTGAAACGTTTCATTGAGAGTGTGTTTTCTATTCTTTGTTCATTTGTTTCTTGTGCATTTATCAAATTCATTATCAGTTCTTTTAATTGGTCAGTTTAAAAGTTTCGCATCAGACTGACTTCAGAAGTTTACCTAAAGATTAGTCTCGTAAAAGAAATGCTTGTGAGTAGTTGTAGATAAGCGTTACATTCGGATGCTTTTCCGTTTCGAAAACGCCAAATAACGTTCAGTTCATAGAACCGAGAGGTTCTTTGGGCACATATTCAATGTGTGCGTTTGTTGCAATAACGAGAGTTATATTGGAGAGGTACCGAATCGAAAAGATGTTCGTTCATTAAATGGCAATTCATTTGAGGCGATCATGTTACTGAAGGCATATTCATTCGATGATTCCAGCAATAATATCGTGATAAATCAATTCGTTGATGATGTCTGCAAATTACTGGTGATTATTTTTTTATTCCTTTTATCTCATTTAATTTGTAGAAATTTGTTTTTTTCCGTGACGAAAAATTTCAAAATTTTCATTTATGTTGGCAATTTGTTGTGCACTTTTCTCAGCAAACTGGATATCAGTTTTAATCAACCCAATCAGCGACTCGAATACACAAATTGATAGAGTTTTGAGCTTTGAACGTTTGCCACATATTATTATCATTTTTTATCGTGGTGTACTTTTATCACATTTCAACTCATTTTTAAAAAATGTCGATTTGGATTAAATTGGAAAACCGAAGCTTTCTATTGATCGAACATTTCATTAAGAAAACTTAAATTCCAAGGCAATGATGTTCTTGAAGTAATTTCTTTCAGAAATCTAAGTTCTCAGATCTCACCTCAGTTGAATGTCGTCGATTTATTGGTGATGTTACCCGTGAGCTTATGAAACGAATCCCATTAAATGCGAATGCTATACATCAGAATCCGAAGGTTTATCAGTTGATCCTTTTGTATTCCTCTTTTAGAATCATTTTCTAAAAATCTTCCAGTCGCGATCAAGTTAAATATTTATTTTTGTATTGAATGAGTGTTGTGCAGTCAATCAATATTATTCATATTTTTACACTTATTGACCTTCATTCGATTTAACTCTAAATGCCGTAATAATATTGGGTCATTATTATGGGCAAATTGGAATCACAATGACAATAAATTATGTGCAAAGACTATAAGCTCATTCATGTTACGCACAATATTTTCAACAGGAAGTATTGATTAGCCAAGAAACTTCGTCGTTTATGCTTCAAGCAACACCATTCTCAGTGAAAACCTATCACTCAGAGATGGTTCAGTTACTATCAAGATGTCCAAATGACTTGTACGAAACATTGCTCAGTGTTGCTCTGCTGCCGATTGCATCAACTGTGAACCACAGTTGCGCTCCGAATTTATATCATAGGTACGTAGATTATTCATCTCTGATTCATTTCTGATTAATTTGTTCGTTGAATTAAGTTGTTCGGGAACGGATGAGTGTTGTTTCATACTGCGAACTGTGCGAGAAATAAGGGCCGGAGAGGAGCTGTTGTGCAGTTATGGACCTCTTGCCGGATGTCACACATATGAACAAAGAAGAGTTAGTGAATTAATGCACTCATTAAAAAACATCTCACATTGAATTGATAGTGGATGACAGTTTGGGGAATCGATATTGAATGTTGGATTGCAAAAACAGACAAGGAAATTAATTGTGGTCGTTATTAATGTAGCAGAAGTAAATAAAGTTGATTTGTAAGAATTACATCTGGTGGAATTGACACGAAAAGGTCATTTTTAGAAGTTATTATTGGAACAGTACGATTTCGTTTGTGAATGTGAAGTGTGTCGTCATGAGGGCGATCATCAACTCGATAAAGTGATCATCGGTCGTTTCTGTGTGCGATGTAAACGTATGAAGTTGTTATTGTTTTTGAGTGCTTATGAAGATGCGTTCAACGCAGAAACAATAAAGCAACAATAGCTGCTCTAAATATTCCATGGCAAATCATCATAAGTTTATTCGAATACCATTCAAGAATCGTTCATTTCTTCTCGTATAACTAGTGAGCAGTCCTTTTAGGACTCTTCATAGCAACACCAAACAATGACAACGTTTTGATACTATGTGACGAGTGTGTGCATGGAAATGCTGATGTAATTATATATTTTGATTTATGTAATAATTGTGTGTTTGTTTTCATTGAAGGTTGATCACTGAAATGACAATAAAATCACTCAATTGACACCGTTCAAAATAAATTTGTATTCGAACAATGACAATTATTCGGATTTAGTAACCTTTTAATGAGGAAAATTTTTGGATTTATTTTGTTCCATAGTTGTTATATTTTTGTTCTCTGCAAACATTTTGCTCGTGTCTTTCGGATATCCAAAAGCAAGAACGGTTTTATGTCGTTTAAACGTACTAATTTCAGGATAAAAGTGATTTGAATTCGGATATTGAAAAATCCATCGGAACAATTAATTGGCAAAAATACGATGGAAACCTATTGATGACTACATTTGATCGAGCGCTCAACACGTATCCGTATGGAAATCAAACTTTTACCGATTTTACACTAATGCTCGCATTGATTTCTTTCAAAAATGGTAACAAAAATTCGTTTTTTTTAAAAAATAACTATACGACAAAAGTTATATTGTTCTTGTTAAGTATCGCAATCAGTTAAGTTACTAATAGAACGTTTGTTGTTCTGACAGTTTGATGCGGTGTTCCAAGAAATGCTTACAAAAGTGATCGGATCTGACTTGTGCAATTCAGCGATCAACTGTGAATTAAGTTGATGTGTTTTGTTGTATTGACGCATAACATAATGAAGCTATTTTAAAGATTGGAGTTATTTTAAAAGACCTCTCATAGGTGATATGATATGTTAAATGTTCGATGATAGGTTTCTTTTTATCGTCAGTGAAATGTGAATAAGTTTAGGTGATATGGATTCAACTTACAACTATATGAAACATTTAATCGATATGAGAAATGCGATATTTAGCAGTCGAGTTCATCATCTTACTGCGTCTTCTTATTTTGCACTCGTCGTTCTCCTCTACGTTCGTATTTGGTGGGTTTCATTCGTCGTTCCTGCATACTGGTTTCCAAAAAGAAATTTTTTCATACTCCTTTAATATAGTCAAAATCTCAAAGGTTTCTTTCGTTCACCTCTTCAGCCATACAAAACTAACGAACAGTTCCGTAACATAAGCTTAAAATCACTCACTGCAATTTTATCACTCACGAACTGTTTTTGTTAACCACTGTCGAATCGTTAATCACTTAGTCAAGTCGTGAAAATATCCTGTTCCATATCATGTATTTATTTGTTTTAGTTCAACAAAAAGTTTATGTGGTACGAAACATTTGGAAGAGATGAAAAAATGTGCTTTTGAAGCCCGTCAACTCTTCCGTACACTCTACGGAAAGGGAAACTTGCGTGATTTGGAGATAGATTTTATGCTCAGCGCAGCTCGTCGCGCAATAACAGAGAAGTGAACACACAAGAATTTATACTGTCGTTTTCCGCAGTTATGAACGTGGCGAACGTAAAAGTAAACCAAATTGTGCATGTATTGTTTTGTACGTTTTAATGAAAAATTCGACAGTGAAATAAAACTTTTTGATTGTACTCATTTGATTGAACTACTTTTCAGTTAATAATGTTAATGTCATCACCACTGTTGATCACCATCCGAATGTGTTTCTGATCATTAGTCGTTGGTGATTCATTCACATAAAGATTTACATAAACGGTGATGGCCTCGAAATAACTTCAAATAACAACAACTTTTATTTGAAAATACAACGGAAACAGCGGATAGAAGAGGTGCACGCCCAACAAAACACATAATATAACAATTAGCTTCATCTTCACAAACAAGTTATTTTGCGCTTACATAGGACCAGCCCCTCGGCCGTAACCAGCGCGGTATCCCGAGACGGGTGCTGCGCCAGGACCTGCTTCGGTTGTCTTTTCGGCAGCTCTGTATGCATCGCGATCGCTATCCATTTTTGGAACTGAAGATAGAGTTGCTCATTTCAACAGATAAAATACGCAGAGCATAAATAATACTCTTGGTTGGAACAGAGTGGTATTCAAAATCATATCCAGATACAAACCCCTTGTGAGACGATCGCCTCCGAATGCTGGTCTTGGTTCACGTGGCTTGCTCTTAACCGTAGCAGGTACAATTTCTGATGGTAGATGTAAATATTCACGTAAGTATGTGATACCCTCATTGGTGAGATACCAATAGTGATGACGCCATGCAAATCGTTCCTTTACATATTCACGCGATGCCAAACTCTAGAATACACACTTAAACATTGAACGTACTGACATTCGTTTAACCATCACAATCTGTTTCGTTTGTACGAGTACTTAATTAGACGTCAGCTGAATCATAATGTTGACGTCGTCAATTTCATCTTCATTTCTATACGGCACTTTTCATACCGATCGTTGTTTACTGCTAAATCGATCGGCTTGGTAATAAGCGCCGATATTCAATTATTGCACACTATTGCTGTTGGGAACAGCGGGAAGCAGAACAAGTTCTTAAATTTGAAATACTTCCTGGTTATCAACAGTGCATGGTTTGATAAAAATATCAAGTACAACCCGTGTTCATTACGCTTCAGTGCACTGGTTCCCAACCGGGTTTGCCTGACAGAGTTGCAGCATCATAATTTTATCAATTATACATTGAAATCACTGACCTCAACATTCAAAACTTCCCAGATATTCCAATTTGTTGCTTTGTTGGCCTTCTACAGCTTATGCAACCCTTACTTTATTGCAATATGTTTTCTTTTCCAAATGATCATTTTAAATACATTTTTAAAAGCGCGGTTATAAAACATTTTCTCGGTCATCTTTACCTTTATCCTTAAGTAAACTATTAGCGTGAGGGGTGCCATGACACAGTAAAATTCTTTAGAGGTGCACGACATACAAAGATTGGGAACTAGTGCATTAGTGAGTTAAACGCCTGAGCTGTTTTTACATTCTCTCGGTTTTCTAAAGCCGACAACATCTTTGACATTTGTATGACGCAAAAAACAAAGCTGCACACGACCTATTATGATGGTCAAAACAGAAATACAGTGGATTCAATTCGAAGAAAGCTTCCCATCTCTTTATTTGGCACGACTGCATCGCATTTCTCACTCAAAGCACTCACATTTCTAGTGATTTCGAAACATTAAATGAAGAATAGTAACGCGCCCTTAACTAGCAAAATTACCACTAGGTCACACAATAATAAAACATACCAATAATCTTAACTCCGAGCATTGCAAAGAGGTGAAACTGATGATGACGAAAAGGACAAAAACTAATGATAAAGTCAGATAATCTCAACGAAGACCAACCTTGCATGCCTTGATCACCTCTAAATTAGTGACATTCGGGATATCTGGGTGGGTCTTCTGATTGAAATCCTTTTTCGCCACACACACACCCTCTTTGAACAGATATTCATAAATTGTCCTTCGATTCTTTGTTGGCATCAACATTTTGCTCAATCTTATACCTTTTTTACCGGTTTGACTGACACTAAAATACGCGCGGATCCTGTAGACATTATGATTAGCATTTCACGGGATCAAACGACCAGGAAATCGTCAACGAAATCGGCTTATATTGCTTCAAATGTGAATCAATGACACGCCAATGACATGGAAGTCTAAAAGATTCCCATATAATATCGTGATATTGAAGATCTTCGTTAAATCTCAAGTGACGGATTCAAATAAACGGGGCTATAACATTAAGACTTGATTACATTTCTCACGCCAACATAATGCAATATTAAACGATCAAAATTTTAGCACTACCAAATATATTTTCAAACAACTATTTTGCGGTGTGATTGCGATCCGTCAATAAGTAACTACACAGAATAAATTCCAAGAGAATATTTGGGTAAGTCTGCACATGAACGACACGACGATTAACGATTAACACGCCACTAATCGTGCAAAAATTCAACGCTTTCTGCTCGTACAACGATCGATTAACAATCAACTACAAATCCCGTCTCGATAAATTCTGTCCGATATTGTCAGAAATTAGACGAGCTCCTTGTTGCCAATTTCAAATTGTTCCAACCAAACTTTCCAACCAAACTTCATCATTATTATAATCTTACGTTTACCACCACCCGACAGCGACGGAAATATACAAAACCGTTCGGCTTAACTGCCACACTGCCCTCATTCAACACTTGAATGTGTCGCAGCCTTCGTTCTCTTTTAAATTTTATTCAACTTGAACAGCGCAAAAACACTAAAATTTGTCGTCACCACTCGATTAATTTATCTGTTCGTTATTTCAGTGGTGAGAATTGAATTCTTCGATTGTCAATGCGGATGCATGATTTTTACCAGGCCGGAGGGGAAGACAGTTTTCCTTATTTTCTGAAATTGAGCACCACTCCAGAGGAAAAATATCTGCGTATGACACCTACAAGCATGATTAACTCCTTAACTGGTGCATCAGTGAATTCCTGCGTTTAATCATTAAATTGATTTCAGTTGTACGAACGGATTTTCTTTTCGTGGCAGTTCTCTGTCTACTTCTCTTGAAAAATTTCATGAAATCTATTTGCAACTTCTCAGAATATGACTATTTTGTGGATTTTTTATTTGTTCTGTCGAGCGTTGTGAACCGTTAAAAATAAGTGACATACTGTTGATGTTCGGAAATTCTTTGTTGATGTGTTTCGTGCATATTTCATTGTTTCCGAAATCTATTGCGATCGAAACGTTTCTTCTTTTACAAAATTATTTTTGAACGTTGAACAAGTCGTGAGAATCTTGTTCATTTCCAAATTAACGACAGATTTGACAAATTCGTATTGGTTCTGACGTAACCTCTGCCATTTCTCCTCATTGAAGAATTTCGCTGGTGTTTATAATGTTAAAGGATTGCGGTGGAATAGATTTTTTGTTGATGTATTAATGTTGTTGATAAGCTGTCATTGTGAACAGTGCTTGTGACTAATGGTTCAGGAATGATAATTTTCATAATGAGCGTTCGCTGACGTGCCTGAAGCGACGTTTCTGTCATAAGCGATTTTACTTCGTTAAAAATGGTCTGTTCGTGTCGTAATTATTTATGGGGTAGCAGTGAGTATGAAGCGAAATTACGCGACTAGTCAACAATCGTACGGATCAGTTATTCATTGAAATTTTATTAAATCATACACTGTGATTCTTCTGCATTTATTATCGCCTTTTCTTCTTTTTCTATCCGATAAATGTGTTGAAGTATCATTGCTGAATCTTATCGCTATAACGAGTTAACAGTTATTGAAACTTTTGAAATGTGCATCAGTTGTTTAATTTGGCGGTCAACCGTAATGTATTATTGGGACGTCTGATGCGGGATGCGCTGCGTTTATGATTTCAACAAAAGAAATGAATCAAATTCTTTTCTCTTAAAGAAGTGTTGTAGTTCATTTCATTCGTATGAAACGAGGGTAATGTTGTATTTCAGGTTGGTAAAATTACAACAGCCTTTAACTAACATGTTCATCTGCGAGTATGAAAGAAATGCCGTTTTGATTTTACCAACCTAAAAGACAAAATTACCGAAACGAGTCATTGATAATGAATTTTACATTGGGAGCTAACGGCAGTGATAAGAGTGAACATTAAATTGTCCAACAACACTTATTTATGTAAATAAGAAGTTTTGTCGTTCACGCATTCATTGTTAATTGATTGAGTCGCTCACATTTATGCAGTCTTTTTATTGTTTTTTCCTCTAAACATTTGCTTAGTATCAGTATATCACCTATCTTTGCTTGTCGCCTCCAATGTGATCGTAATATTTACAATATTATTATTATTATTATTTCGACTCATCTGTTGCATAATAGTGTGGCATGAGCAACTGGTTTCAACGATTACAGTTAGATGTTGACAGCTATCTGAAGAGTAATGAACGGTAATGTCTCAGTTGCGGAACCAGAAGAAATATTTTTGGCCTCCTCAAAGTAATATCACAGCAACAACTTTTTTCCGGAACCAGAGTTGGAGCGGAGCAGAGGAAATTTTGAAATCTGAGCCGAAGCCGAAGTTTTGAAAAACGCGAACGCGGAGCTGGAACAGAAATTTCGAAGTGCAGAGCCGCAGCTGGAAAAATGCAAAGATGGAGCGGAAGCCGAGGATGGGACTGCCGCAGTGTGTAGATTTCGAAATTGGCGAAAGTTTCAGTGGAAGAGAACTCATATCACTTGGATTGTTTATTATGAATAGGAGTGATGGAAGGAAGCATCATTCTTAGTTTATTGGAAGCATGGGCGATATGTCAGAAGGGTTCTTCATCTTTATCAAATGTTACTTCACCATATCTAAGTGAAATGAGAGGTGGAGGAATCTCTCTTTACTTTGTGTGTAATTGTTCGAGGGAGTGTCTCGTTGTGCACAATTCCCTTATAACAATTCAGCTCCATTACTATAACTTACCCTCGCAACTATCACTGTGTTACTCCGGATAATCTCTATAAATGTTGACGCCATTAACACTCTCATTATCACTACAATTTTGGCTATAATCACCTTTTTTTTTGATTTTTGGAATATTTTTGTTTTGAGTTTTTTTTAACATTTTGCTAAAACGTTTTTCAGCGTTATTTGTTCATTTTTGTGCTCTTATGTGTTGTAAATATTGGAGTTGGAGCATCGGCCGAAAATTGGAGCTGAAAAAAATGCGGAGCTGGAGCTGGGATTGGAGCTGAAAATTGAAAAAAGCGAAGCTGAGAGTGTAGCCGGAGCCGAAATTTTCACAAAGCGGATAAAAAAGTATAATAACTCTAAGTCTATCAGTTATTCAACGTCGGCTGCTTTTACAAATATTCATCATCAACTTCGAACAGTGTTCTCAAGCGATGTATTTTGTAAAGTTCAGCTTTCACGTTGTTAATCCATCTGTTCTTGCCTGATGCAGTTGAATGAGAATTGTTAATTGTTGAAGGTGTTTTTTATGGGTGGCTAATACGATTGTAATGATGAAGTGGCATGAAAGTGATTATTAATCATTGTTTACATTTCTTTATTTTGTCTTTGTTCGTAGCTTGTCAAGAGGTGACTTCAAATTGTGTATAGCAGAATCATTAATAATACATGTTGTTTCTATATCTGTTTGATGCGAATGAAGGTTCATGTTCGAATTTCTTTATATCGAGCAAATATATGTGATCCGTCATTTTGAAGTGGGTAAGGAGATGTGTGGTGGATTTGAAAAAAGAATGTATGACAGAGACGAACTTAATAGAAGGTGTATTCCCTTATAACAGAACAATGCATACGTATTGTCGTGCTCAAAGTGAAATCCACCATCTTATCCCTTTTCATATTTCTCATTTAAACTCATATCGCCTCGTTTTTATTTTGCGTATCATAACATCAAATCAGCAGCCATCCAGTTGTTCACAACTACTCGATATGGATCAAATGCTTTTGTTTTTCATCTTACCATACGTGCTGTTTTCAGTCCATGTGAAAACCATGCGTTCTATTGATTCATCGATGACTTGCTACTGTATAAAGCTGCATTCGTAAAAAGTATGAATTGTTCGTGGGTGGTACTCAGTGAAAATAGCAAGTCCGACAATACAGTTATATCATTTACTTTTGTCATGATTGCTTGTTTTTGATAATTGTTATTAATTTTAATGGAGATGAGCTTCACGTTCATTTCTTGTCGCGTTATTGTCTGAAGAAAAATTTTTGATCTTGAGTAAACGTGTGATAATTTTATACGCGTAAGTCGTGTGTTTATATGTATCATAAACATACGCACAGACGAAGCATATGATATGCTCTTATAAACGTTTATACTTATGAGTACATAAAATATTGGTTATATGAATGGTGGTTTTGGTGTTGCGAGTTGCGTTGTTGTTTGCAACGTATTGAATGCGTGGCAAACGAATGAGGCGAATCGATTTATCGTGCGTTTCAGAGCATCGTTATAAACTTCACAGCGAATCTCTGTGCTCATTATTTCGCTTCATTGCAGATCTGTTAATTGTCGTTGTGATTTGATTGTGATTAATGCTGGTTCAAGCAGAATACGTTTAATGCATTTATTTAGCTGTATTTATGTAAATTGAACGTGAGCTTCCATCAAGCATTTTTTCGACTTACTAATCGTTAGTATCCATCAAATACCCTTTTAAAAAACGCTGTCTTGAAATGAAATAAAACTCGAATGAGTGAACTCAAAATTGTTGCATTGATTTAATTGATTAGTTGATTAATTTAATTCATTAGTTTCAATTCGATTGTCTGATTGTTTCTTGTTATCTGACAAACACTCCGTATGCTTAAATACTTTGTGAAAGTGTGTTTGAGCACTACCAGTTTGATTGATGTTTTCATAGAGAATCATTTTTGCTCACGTTCAAATTATTGCTCACCCAATACTATGCACATACGGTCAACCTAACCCAAGTGCAGTCTCACCGATGAATTATAGCAAAAAAGGTGTTTACATATAATGGCCATCACAAAGTTACAAAGCTATTTTATCTGTTAGCAGCCATGATCCATCCCATCTGAATAATGTCTTCAGAAAGTGTTTTTTGTACGTGTTTATTGATTCATAGTCGATGATGTCATTCCGCATATGCATATGAAATCGTAATCCAATGCGCATTTGGTATCGACGTCGTTCATTTACACTTCTGTCCTTCGTTATATTCAGATTTTTTTTGCTTACAGCTCTTACTAAATCCATTAAAATTATATTTTGTTTTTATTTCTCAGTATTTAACTTCCTCGTGTAGCGGCGTATCGTACCTATTATTTGCTGCTTTTTAAAATTACTCTTTAGTGAAATTATCACCTCGTTATTATTCAGTAGGTTGCGCATTTTATCGATAATTTCACGGCAATTCATTCTAAATTTGAGGTGTAAAAACAATGTGCCATATTAATGGATTTATCGATTTATTGGTTTGCCTTTCAACCTAACCATTAATATACGTCAGAGCTGACGCTAGAGTTTCCTTATTTTATGGACTGCCACCAATGAGGCTCAGGATCAGAATGAACATTTTTACTGGTTGTTGTAATGATAGAAATAAATTTTGAATAGATTGCTGGATCAAACGATCTGTATTAATGAATGTTAATGTCGGTGTCCGGACGGCTGCACCCGAGCACAACTACTCTTAGACAATCCCTCTGGGGACAATTGCTCCCTCCGCCGGGTAATTGCTCCTCGTTTGCCTCCACGATATTCACCTTCGTAAACACAACTTCTTTCGACCATTACCTTCATTATTACAATTATTATTACTCCCGTTGTTGTTATGTTATGTTCTTATTATTGATATTCTTAGGCTTAGGCTGAGACTGAGTTTGCTGCATAGGCTGGGGCTGAGGTTCATGTCGTTGGACCTCGTGTAAGGTTGTGCCCAACCGTGTGGAGGAACTCTCGATTACAATTAATTTTTTAAATATTTTAAATATTTTCAGGGTTAAGCGTCGAAGAATTAAATCCAATCATTTTCCGAAAATAGTTCTGCTAATATTTATTCGATTCGGTTCAGTTTGAATAGCATAACTACAGTTCAAGGGAATATCAAACGCATTTCCACTCTTTGACCGCATAAAAATGTCTGCAGATGGTCTTAAACAGCGGCGAAAAGTGCAGTCGAATTTCATTAAAACCGATGAAGTACGTTCTGATTTCATGTTTTCTTTCGTCTTATTATTAGATTATCGATCGATCCATATTTATTTATTTTGGTTTTTCAGAAATTATTCTTTGTTTAGCTAAAGTTGCTTTTGAGGAAACCACAAAAGATGTAGACGATGGAGACTCAGAAAGTTCGAGTGAGCGTCCGGATGATGATAAGGCTACACGTTTAACTCTCATGGAACAAATCCTACTTCTTGGCCTTAAGGACAGAGAGGTGAATTCGTTACTGGATCGTGAATAATGTGAGACAACACCAAAGGAATATTTGTTCATATAGCACTCCTCTAGCATGTTCCATATTGATCATGTATTTCTGCTTTCACATCAGCTCAGAACGGAATACAGTCGAAACTGTAAGAAAGCGGCCATGTTTATACTGTTTCTGAATTGATGTGTCTCAATCTTTCAAATTTTTGTGGGGTCCTTAAAATAATTGTAAGGTTTTAAGTGAATCCTTACGTCAGTATCATATCTCGAAAAAGTTACACATCACGTTATTTGGCGTCGTATTAACGCAGCCAGTAGTTCAACGTTGCCTCATCCGAGCTACTGAATGAACAGAAAATCAAAATGGCGTTTAAATCTCAGGGTTACACGTCATTTTGGAACGATTGCATCAGTAGTGGATTACGTGGATGTGTTATGGTGGAACTGGCACTGAAAAATCGTATTGAACTTGAGAAGTCTGGAATGCGAAAGAAAGGTCTTTTATCGAGAAAGGTTCAAATGTCTATATTTTGTAGTTTATTTATGGTGGATATAGACGTTGTTCTAACGAATGTTTATTGTTCATTCAGAGTTTGGATGTAGTAGTGTGAATTGTCGTTTTATATTTAAGTACATACTGAAAATGTGCAGAAAGATTATGTTTAATTCTGCAATCAGTCAGTTGATAGCTCTTGCTCGTCTGATAATCTTGATTCCCATTCTAGGTGCTTGTCAAAAACGATCAGCTCACAGGTGATGTGATATTGGACGAAGCTTTAAAGCATATCAAGGAAACACAGCCGCCTGAGTCGGTTACCAGTTGGATTGAATATCTGAGCGGTGAAACGTGGAATCCATTGAAATTACGATTTCAGGTTCGCTATATGTTTCTCGGTTTTTATGCTAGGCATTTTTGCTTCATCTCGACTGACTTGTACTGTATTTCTAGCTTATTTTGCACATCATCAATTAAATGATAGTTTCGTTTAAGTTACGTAATGTACGAGAGCGATTAGCGAAGAATTTGGTTGAAAAAGGTGTTTTAACAACCGAAAAGCAAAACTTTCTGCTCTTTGATATGACCACGCATCCTTTGCACAATGGTGACTTCAAGCATAAACTCATCGGGGTAAGTATAAGCGCATGTTATATTTCAGTTTCGAATTAGTCAGTGAATGGTTTTAATGCAGTTTTATTTATTTCTTAAATGAGCATTCATTATGGATTCTATCGAAATTTTTAGTTCAATCAATAGATTTCGATTGCTTTGGTATTCTTCATTAAGGTTTTCTACTTAATGCTTTTAAGCAGACGCGTATCCACACACCTGCAGAATCGCATAAGTGCAAATAAAAGTGTGATAAAATTTCAGCAAGTGCAAGAAGCAGTGTTAGGTCGTTGGACTAATGATGTTCATCGTATGGATAAAAGGATGCTTTCTTTACTGATATTAGCTCATGCAAGTGATGTCCTCGAAAATGCTTTCGCCCAACTTTCTGATCAGGTAAAATTTTGAATTCAAGAAATTATGATCAGAAGAATGCATTAAAGGATTGTTTTTCAGTCTCTAAACGTTTAGTTCGCAACAGATTCTTATATAACTGCAAAGATTATCACTGTACGAATGCTTAAAATCATAGAAAAATTATGAGAGAGAATAAGTGTACATCAACAGCATTTCCCACCGAGAAGTGCATCATTGTAATTTGCTATTGTAGGATTATGAGTTGGCAATGAAACGTGTTCGATCACTGCTGGAATTGGATTATGAGGTAGAAGGTGACAAAAAAGGGAGCACGTCTTCGGATGTTATGTGGGCAGTTTTTGAGGCTTTTAGCAAATGAAGAATATCACTGCGATTATAATATTTGTAAACACAGCACAAGTATGTATCATTTTTGTTATATAATATTATCGATTCATATAGGTGTATTGTTGTTTGTTGCAAACCGTTTATTCATTTTTATCACGTGTTCTTTCTTTTGGCCGCATGACAATATTCGTTCTCATATTGTCAATTATTATCACTTTTCAGTTGCTCATATTCCCAGCAAAACCTTTTGTTTTTCGGCAAAGAAACTTCGCTTTGAAGAGTCTGTTCTTCATTAATTCACATGAAGATAATCACAAGCAGCGTGATTGTTCATATTATTATGATGTTCTTAAGGAGGATTGTACTTGCACTGTGTGATAATAAGTCTACCATTTTGCTTGTATTTGGGATTGAGAGCTGCTGACTGTGTGTGCCGTTTATATTCTTAATTATTCATGTATTGTTTTAGTGCCTCTCTTTTCGACGTTCTGTAAATTTACCGTATGGGTTTCGTTCTCAATAAATCAGCTCCTTAAAGAAGCTTTAGCAGGAAAGTTTTGTTTTGGTAGTCTTTGAAGTGTCGTATTTTGGAGTAACATGCGAATAAAATGAAATCTTCATTCCATTCCGTAGACGAATGGAGTATATATGTACGGATTGAAGCGTTTTTTGCTCTGCTAGTTAGTTTTGAATTACAATACATCAAGTTGAAAAGATTTGAATGGATAAAAATTGTTTCGAAACAAGGGAAATAGAAATGAAGGAGCGGTTCTGTTAAATTATTTCAATTTTAAAGATGTGATTCTCTGCAATAGTCTTCTCATCATCGTATCATATCATAATTTTATTATGTTCTCTTGTTTCCTTTTATAACCTTGTCAATCTTTTTGAATTTACCGGCAGAAAATGAGCAATTTCAATTAGTACGTTGTCGTTTTGTTAATCTAATGAATTAAATTGTTTCAAGAGCACGAATAGCTGAATTCGGTTCGCTGTTACTTGACTAAGCTTGCGGAACTTTGTTTCGTTATAAATTCACATTCAACCAAAATGTTTTGCCTATTAATAGCAGCTTTACCATTTTGATTGTAACTGTTTGCAATTTATTCAAGTCTTTTTGAACATTATAATCTCATTTTTGACATAGTTCATCAACGATTCTGGATAGAATCTAATCTGGGCACTATTGATATTATAAGCTTAATTTTTTCGAAGGTGTAATTTTTTAAACTTTTGTTGTATTCAAATGGAAGATTTTATGGCGAGCAAAAAGGCTTCGATGACAGTTGTTGATGAAGATGAATCACTAAATGATCATTGGCTGATTATCGATTGAAATAATGGGTTTGATTTGAAATGATTGACATCTGCCTTGATTTCTTTGCTTGATATCATTTTCGTGAAAGAGTTTTCTGTTGAAAAAACGAATCAATGTTAACGTGAAGATATTCTCACGAAAACTTTTCTGATACTATCTCTTATTATTATTATCGTTGTTTATTACTTCCCTTAAATAATTAATTTGATTCATTTTATTGTGAACGGTAATGCATTGTTCTGATTGTTGAAGTCAACAGATTTTGGTTTGTTTCGATCTTATGGTATACTTTTAGTTTTGTTATCTGTGATGTTGAAACTGTTTGAAGCGTTTTGCCGTTGTTAATCGTGATATTGTTTGCCTCTTCCACTCATTTATTTCAAGTGTTTGAAATATAAATCAGCTGAAAGGTTTTTTGGCGTTGTTCTATTAATTTCGTTTTAATTCAACTAATAAAAACCAAACATTTTCGAGTTCGTAACAGTCAGCTGTGGGGTTCTTTTCTTTTTAGCGCAAATTAAGTGCGACAGTTGTACTCACTTGAATTGTTTTTTGAGAGTCTTTCTTAATTTGAATTACATCAATAATGAGTGAAATGAACGCTTGATGTACTTTAATGATACAAAAAATTTATGTACTGTACTAAGCTCAGAGTTTGTCCATAAAAAGAAATTCTCCCCAGTAGATTCTGTTCCTTTTATCGTTTTTAATTTGTCGATTGTTATTTCCTTCATTATTATTGCATCCATAATTCTTATACAACACTGAACGTTGTTTTCCGCTGTTATGCAGAAATAACGATGGAAAGGAATCGTTCTGCTATGCTAATTCCACTCGATGTGTGTTTCTGTCTCGATATTCTTTTGTTTTTTTTTTCTTTATTCTTGATTTTTCTTTGGTTGTTTCATTGTAAATTTCAATTGTATAAGGGAAGAAGGAAACTGTTCCGCTTGGTGTATGCACAGGTGTTTATATTGTGAATAAATTATTATTTAAAAATTTCTTTCGCTTTGTACGGATCATTGAGCAATCATGACGATTTCATTGTAACATCTAACTAGGGAATTCATTTAAAACGAGTTACCTTGAGTTGTAACGACCGATAGATGCACACTATTGTAGTGTTGTTGATTATGATATTAGTAGATAAAAAGAAGAAAGAATGAATATTATCAGTAGAAATGGGTGGGGGATGGGGATAGTTGGGAGTAGAATATGATATTATAAATTAAGGTAGATAAACGAAATTGAGGGATTGATAGACGTTTCGATGTGAAACACTAGCTTCAGTACCTTTTGAATGTTACACAGAGTTACGAACAATGATGAGTACTCAGAGGAGCATGTTCATGTGATGGTAATATTAATATTATTAATAACCGAGATTTTTATGGATTAATTTGGTTTTAATGCTCAACAAATTATCTTCGACAGCAACCGGTACTTTTATTCAAGACGAATGGATATTGGTAAACCTCATTGCCTCAGACATATCTTGTCGTACATTAACATCAGGATGGATGTCATGAATAAACAATGCCTCTTTTATTTTGCAGCGTTGCAGGTTTCACTCAACGGAGATGATGTCAATCTCAGTAGGTGCCACCCGACCCGCGTGTGTTTCTTTCATGTGGACTGACCAAGGTCTGTCCCGTTCAGGATGCTTCATGTCCGCAAGATGTTGCTTATAGCGGAAAGGTTGACCTGTTTCCCCAATATGGAAAGATGGGCATTCCTTGCATGCAATTTTGTATACTACACCCTTGATACTGCATTCTCCGCCACCTTCCTTGCATACCTCACCGTCGTTAACGTCACATCTGCAGTCGTACAGTCTTGAGTTCACCAGTATGTTCTTGAGCGAGGGGAGCGATTGGGGGATAACATTGACGCTTACCTTCCATTTTGAGAACATTTTCTCCACTCGATATGAGAAACCGTCCGTAATGTAGGGTATTCTAATATTTGGCAATCCATACATAAACTTACGAGGCCTTGAGCACAAGAATGATGTGTCGTACCCATTGTTTTCAGCTATGAACTCTGCCCTTCTTCTTAATGTTTCCTTGTGTTCTTCCGATGACAGTTCCACCGCTCTGCGTATGTAATTCTTTTTCTCTCGTTAGTCTTATGCAATCATGCTTCGTATTGATGGTATCAAACAATCCATCCATGGATGACTGTGTGGCGGCAATTATCAAAACGCGCATAAGCTCACACATTTATCATTACGGAATTCATTCTTAATAGTTTCTCAGTCCAGCACTAATACCATATATCCTATTTGAGAAACAGTTCATATTGAACAATTGTAGCTTAGTAAAGTCTTTTGAAGATGTGTGAATGATTTCATGAACCTACATGCTTGTGCTTTTCCAGTCGATGATCGAATGCAGTGACTGCTATACAGGGGAAATTTGAAGGTGTCATGAGGGGAACATTGTAGAGGTTGGCTGAAATTATTTTTGATTGAACTGTTGAAGTATATCTTTCATAACTGTTCGATAATGTTTTCAAAATGCTTTTTTGATACCGAGGAATGGACTTGTGTGATACCGCCGACGAATTATCTCTGTTCACAAAGATTTAATTTCGAATAGTCAAGAAGATGAACCTTATTTGTAGAGGTGCAAGCAAACATGTCATTGGATGTGATTCTCATTATGCGATTATTCGACGTTTGCAGTGTTCCTATTGAGACAGATAACTGATGATGTTATTAGTAAAAGAGGTGATGAGAATGGAAATGCTTTCTCTCCGTCTCGAGAGAATGCACTGTCAAGAGATCGAATCGGGAAATGAAGTTTGTTCCGATGACCGTTTAAATGTGCTTTAATTTCTTCATTTAGGTGATCAATTTTCGATGCATTCCAATCTTCCATATACTGCAATCTTAAGAGAAAATAACAGCTGGCCTAGCACCGCAATGGGAAAAACTTCACTATTATCTTTTGTTGCATTGTCTCTCACACTGAATCTTTTTGTTTGCTTTTTTTTTCGAGTATTTCAACGTTACCAATTGTTCAGTGAAATGAGCGAGTAATGTTCATATAGATGTTAAAAGTTGATAGGCAAATTCTCAAACTTAGAGAGGTAACAAACATTCAGCTAAATAAACTAGTTGGTGAGAGAGGTGGTTTTATAAGTGAGCAGAAGATGTTGAGATAAAGATGCATAAAGTAGGGATTTGAGTGGATAGGAAATGCAATGCGATCACAAAACATCGAATAGCTGCTGTCTAGTGTAAAAAGAGCAAGCATCAGTGATATCGAAAGTCAGCGTTAGCGTTCACTTCATAATAAGTCATCAACATGTCTGCGATTCAATGATACAATTGAATTCATTTAACACACTTTTGGTTCTTCATTTCACTTGACACTGTTGTTTAATTGTAAGCTTCATCAACTTCATCAGATTTTTCAATTTTTACTTTCATTTAATTTGCTACATTATACGTTTGAATTACCTTTTCATTCGTCAATTATGTATTTCAAATCAACATTATCCATACTGCATCCATATTCACCGCAATGAATCTGTGATTCAACTAATTTCTATTCATCATTTCAGTGTATTATTTGGCCGTTTGTTTAACACAGTGTTTCAATCTTGCTTTCAATATTATATTCATTAATAACTACTTCCGAAAGGATTCCACTGAAATTGTTATATAGCAATATATGTTCAACGCCATCAATTCGTTGGATCAGTTTGATCGTCTGATCGATAAAATATCACTTTTATCCTACAAACTGATAAATTTCTTGGTAATACTGAATGATTAGATGAAATAACGAACATTATGGTTAAATCACTCTTCAATATTTGTCTATCAGCGGTTTGTCAAAATCGAGTTGATGAACAGTTAGCATGTTTACCAAGTGTATGTAAACAACGATTACTCGAATTTTTCAGTTCTCATGATCAGGTGCAAGATAAATTCATTCATTTTGATCCTTTATCCCTCGTTCGAAGGAAATCTCCAATTATCTCTGTTACAGAAGAAAATTATGTGAAAAAAGTTATCAGTCTACTGAAAATTAAGTCAAAATTTGAAAAAAAAGAATGATTTCTTTTTTTAAATTGACTTGATGAACCATTAAGTCAATTTTTAATAAACTGACGGAGGATAGATCAAAATAAAATAACTGAATGAAGTAGATAATTGATGTGAGTTAATTTACAGTTATTTATGGCTGATTGTTTACGATTGGTCTCGTCAAAACCGTTTGGTGCCAACTTGACCAGTCTATATTTTTTCCTAAGTGAACAACTAAACGATGATATGCTTGCTGCAATCGCAACGTACAATCGTAATCTTGAGGAGATTACAATAATTGATTGTGTTAATGTTACCGATCAGGTTGATCTCCATTCGCTTTTAGCACTGAACTCATTTATTTTTCCCTTATTACCTCTTCAAAAAATTTCTTTAGTAAGTATAACCCAGTCATTAGCGTAAGTAATTTGTTTGCGTGTGTCAGGAATAACACCATCGAATAAATTATTAGACCAAGAATGTCTTTAATGAATGCAGGCATAAAAAATGCTGAAATGAATAGCATTAAGCTTGTGAGTCTGTTAACTAAGATAGATGAATTGATACGAGATATTAATTACGTTTTTTTGAATTGTGAATTACAAACAATAAGTTGTTGTTGGTTTTTTAATGTATATTATTAGCATGGACATTATTGAGGTGCTGGAAAAGTTGAAGAATGATTCATTCTGATCGATTTTTAAGTTTTATATTGAAATGCGTTGAACAGTTTTGAAACTAATAGTGGTATTGTTTTATTTTCGTTGTTCAGGGAGTTATGAATATAACAAATGGACAAAATGCATTGAAAAAACTCGAACTGAGGGCTTCGAGCAATCTTACATCGAGAGGACTGAATATGATTCGATCGGATTTCTTGCATACCGTTGATCTTAGCTCTTGTTTTAAGGTGTTACATTCATTTCTCTTTTTCCGCTTTCATTTTCGCCTCTGAATCAAAACTCTTTGCTTATATAATACTTCGTTGCTTTTTTATGGAGCATCCATCACAACTTCACTTAACAAACAATTATTAAAATTGCATCAAATTTCAACTGATGAAAAAAAAAACAAATGGGATGATTTCAAATCATGAACCTAATGTAACTGATAAATCGAAACCTAAACGAATCATCATGAGATGGCGCTTTAAATACCCGTCCCCCTCTATGTTGTGTCCAATACTACACATTGTGTTTAGCTGTCATGTACAATGCAATTATATTGATAGCGATAACGGCTTCGACCTTATTTTGCTGTTTTATTTTGAATGTTTAGCCATGTGTAAAGTTTGTTTTGCGATGTTTGTTCCACATTTTTCATTACATTCGGTGCAATCTAGATGTTCATTCATCTCACTTCCATTTAATCAAGAATATTTTTCCCCACAAAACCTTGTTTTTTCTTCTTCTCATTTTTCATATCTCTGCTTCCAAGAGAGATATAATCTTACACTCGGTGCTATGAAGCTGGAATACAGTAGATGAATACTATGATGTGCAATTGAAATGAAGCGGTATTCATTGCGTATGAAAATTTGGAAGTTTCATTTCAGTTCAGCAAACCTCAGCATTTGAATGAAAAAAAAGAAGTCACGAATAATATTTCAGATAACAAGTGAAGGAATTTATCAATTAGTGAACAACAATCGAAATATAAGATGTCTTTATTTGAATCATTGCATCGGTGAGTCATTTCGCACCAAATAGTAATTGCATTTGTTTGTGAAAGTATGTGATGTTAAGCGCATGAAACCACACAAGTCTGTATAACTCGAAAATGATTTCACAGGAGATAATCTAGAGGCTATTTAGAGCCACCCATCAGATTTACAATGTTTATTGCTTTGAATGTTTTTTTTTCGGTTTAACTGTTATTTATGCACACATGAATTTATATATTTGAATTATTTCTGCCTTAAAGTTCATTTCAGCATTATGCGATCAGGCTCTTTATCATATCGCTCATTATTTGGGTGAATCATTAGTGGTTCTGGAATTGGATTTTTTACCGAATCTAATCGATCCGCACACAGCGCTTTATCATCTGAGTCGAAACTGTCCCAACATTCGACAGTTGTCGCTGTGTCGTTTCTTTGAAGTACACAGTAACATTGCATTTAATTCTTTATAGCAATACTCTTGGTTGTATTCACGTTCATAAGTTGTTTCAGTTAGTCATTTCGATAGTTCATTTGCTATACGGATAGTTCAGATATTTATGATGTGTGTTTTTGAACACTCTATTAGAAGCAACGAATGATGCGGTAAATGCATCTACATCAGTTAATTTCAGTTGTTGTTGAAGAAAAATCTTGCAAAAATATTCATCTGTCACATGATCGGATTGATTATTGCAATTTATCAATTGAATAATCGGTTGTTTCAGGTCGAAACCAATTTCGATGAATTGCAAGCATATCAAATCGCTGGTACGGGTCTGCTCGATATCGATTTATATGGTTGAGTACTTTTTTTCATAGCCGATGAGAATTGTTTAAATCACTCAGAACTTTCTGCTATTATTTATGTGATGTTTATCTCATTAGCAGTAAACTAGTCGTAGACAGGTTTTTCTCGAATAGCAAATTATGTGTTAACATATTAATCATCTCATTCTGATCCGCCGAAAAATATCATCTCATTTCTTGTAGGGTTGAAAATGAAGGACTTTTTTGTATAGCATTTCGCAAGAGTTTTTTCGGCGAGAGAATATTGTTTTCGAGTCTCCTCTCGTTTTTCACAGAGGAGTACCAAAAAAAAAATCTCCTTTCCCCACTTCCAACCTTCATTTTTTGATTATTATGGTGATGTAGAGAGGTTGTTCATATGAATCATTCCTTCTAATAGAAGTTTCTTTTCACCATCCAATGTCGAAAAAAACGACATTAAAATTTGTTACTTGTGAAGAAATAAATCAAGTGATTCATCGCATTCAGGTAATCACTTTTTCCTTTTACCTCAACTTCCTGCAACAGTCACTCGTTTACGTTTATCGGTGTATGGCGACGAAAACGTTGAGCATCTTATTTCTCGATTGCACTTATTACCGCAACTGAACAGTATACATCTGCAGTTGAGTTGTAAGGATGAGAGTTGGGTTCGTGAACTTGGCATATTTCAGTCAATTATCTTTTCTTGTTGATTAGATGCTAGTTGAATGAGCGTAGAAATAAGTGGTTGAATTCGTTACTATCGAAGTTTGTCTAGCGATTGAATTGAAACGATCCTTTAATGAGATCGTTTATAACAGCTGATGTGCACGTGATCGGAATTTAATGAAAGTCTTTCATTAATTCATTACAGTCAACAGCTGTTCACACTCTGTCTCTGATCTGATAGACCTCAAAAAACCATGAACTGCTCTAACATGCAACACAAATTATTTCTGACATTCTAGAACAGTGACTTTCATGCCGTCAGGTTTCGTGATTCCCTAAGGTCTAATGGCAAATCGCCATTCTTTTCCTCTTTTGCAAGAATCTAAGCGACCGCCATTTACGCCCCCGTCCCCCCTCTCGCAATAATGTTACCAATGGTTAGCGAAATGGCCGAAGGAAATCAGAAAATTAATTCAATGATCAAGAAGTTTGCTGCCACCAACAGTGCACCTACATTACCGAAGGAATCACTTCTTTGTTTTCAAACAAGCACTTTGAAAACAATTTTGAACAATTATTTTAAGAGATTGAAAAAATCGATCAGTATTTATTTGATAACCTTCTCAATTCCATTTGACATCCTAAAATCCGTTTTATCGCTGTGAGAATCACTGTGCTAGAAATTATTGCTTCAAATCGGCAGTAATAAAATTTTATCGAGGATTCCATGAAACATTCCCTGACACTGACCGACATATTCATCAATTTTTCGAGTCAATTCATTTCGAGAGTTCAAGCCAATTATAAAACAATCTTTATATGATACTGAACATCTTTCCTGCTATACGTTATACTTACCACGGTTTTTTTTTCAGCGCTCGGTGGAAGAAGCAAACGCATTTCTCTGTCAGCTTATACCTCTTATCGGCAACAAAATTACACGACTGCAGGTAAGCGGCTGCGCTTCACAGATAGGCCAATAAAAACCTCCCGAATTTAATTCACCATTGATTGTTCGGAGGATATTGCGATTGAGTAGGTTGTAGAGTGTATCAAGTTGGAATGAGTCAACAATCCATGACCATTCAAAAGTTCAGATGTCTGCTAACATTACTTTCACATGTCATCGCTTCATTCATGGAAAATTTCAGAGCGTTCTTTCTTTAAGCGTCAATAAAATCGTACATGAGCAAATGACTAGTAAAATCTGTTTACAGTTCAAGTTTACAAGCTGAACAACATGCGATTTACAGATATCACTACCTCGCCTGGTTGATACCGCATTCAGTCTTATAACACAGTGCCTACCGAATTTGATTGAACTTGCTCTTGATGTGAAACACATTAACAATAAACTACTCAGGCATTTCTTCTCAGGTTATCCAGTTATTTTACGTATGTTCGTTGGACTCACTTCAATATTGTCGTTTCAGTGTAGACTACAATAGCCAAAATTTTATACACGTTCCAATCACTGAATGATGTTCCTTATTTGACTATGACAAACAGCTATTCAATGATCTGATTATTCAGGCGGTATTCGTTCACCTGGTTCCCGTTTGCTATCGTTAAAATTGTGTCGATTAAGAATCACCTACAGAGCATTATTTGCAATAGCACGGGGTGCCAGTTCAATTACGGTAGTGTTTTAACGTATAAATATCTTAAACAACTGTTGGAGCGTTACTGCTCTCTAAAAGTCAACAAATTACTCATTCAGCACGTCAGCAATGCTGTAATTATTAGACACATTATTCGTAACGATTCTTTGAAATGAAAACTTTCCAAATCACGAAGAATTTGTATTAATATCATTTGAAATTTCTTCATTCATCTAATTTCACCGGGCCGTTTTGAATGATGAGCATACATAATTGAAACGAGTTAACTGTTTTATTGGGCAATAGATATTGTTGTAATAAACATCGAAATTAACGGACAAATTAAGGATCTTGAAACGTCTCATATGCCCTGTGTTGACGATCGATTTCTGGCGTTGCTCGCCGATAACTGCCGATGTTTAAAAAATGTGAATTTCAACGGATGTCGTTTCATTACAGACAAGGGACTTACTGCGCTTGCTCGGTATTCTTCTACGATCTTTTTATTGTTCCACTACTTTCAAACTCACAATTCAAATGTGAATATCATGATGGTCGCCTGTATCAGTGCTCAGCGACTTTCATCGACCAAACACAATAGTAGGAGCCAGAGATGGGCACCTTACTGAAAACTGTAGCTTCGCTATCGCTGATCCGCTGGAATAAAAAATGTTTGGTCCGCTAAAAAAAACTGCGCTATTGCTATTGTCGCCAAAATAGTAACGAAATGCTATCCTTGAACCGCTGATTGAGTAGCTTCGCTAATCCGTTTTTCGCTATCGCCACTCGCTATTTTGGATTCTTCCCTCAAAGTGTGCAATTGCAGCACCGATTTGTATGTTCACGTTCTCCAACAATTTACAAATTAAATTTACTTTCATAAAACAACAATCATCAAATTAGTCTTTACCACTATCTGCAGAATAAACGAAACTTTTTGATTAGAATCGCTAAGAACACTCCTAATAACCCCTCAACATGCAGAACCCGCAATCAGCTCCATCCATCATCAAGTCGTCATAAGCAACCCAAGTTTGGAAATCATTATCACGATTCCAGCACAGTTAAAAAACAAAACACCAGAGCATCACTCACATTGAGAACGTTCAGTTTCATTACCTCATCCATACTAAGTGAAGTAAGTAACCTGAATTCGCTCACCCTAGAATATACCTCTTCCCCTTGGTCTTTCCCTGATGATAAACGCTATGTTAATGTCGTTAAAGATGTTCGAAGAAGATACACATGTTTCGTCTTGAATGTGTGAACTTCAATAACGTATCTGAACACTCGGAGAGATTGTCAATATTAGGATTCGAAACTTTACAACTGCGACGATTTTAAAATTGATCTTTGAATAGCCTACAATTTCATTCAAGGTCAGGTTGATCTCTCAGTGGAAGAATTTTTCGAATTTTCCTCAAGCAGTGAACGAATACGCCGAAATAATTCCCTTAAAACACTACAAAAAATACACTACAAAATACGCTGGAAATTAAACACTACAAAACTCTCGTTCGCAAGTAGAATCCTTAGAGTCTGGAATCTGCTCTCCCAACATGTTGTCTCCTCATAATTGCTCCAAATATTTAAACGCAGACCCCGATCTATTCCACCAAATGAAATCGGATGTATATCCCTATTAAAATTTCGTTAACTATTTGAAAAGGGGATGTAAAGAAATGGAAAGAAGTTAGTTCACCCACCTAGTTTTAATTATTCCCATTTTATTGATACAATGATTTGATTTTTTTCTCTTTTTCAACGTTTCTTTCCTGCCCAGCACCAGTAGGATCAGTACACTCGTCATGTTGTAATCATCCGCACTGCGAATATTATTATATGAATACATATCCTTTCCCAGCGAGAACAAAACTGAATAAAACATCACCGCACTGCCATATAGCTCAGTGATCTGAAACGGAATGATAGTGGTGTGCTTATATTGAGGTATAATTGAATACTCAATTCTAACCTTTCGGAAGAGTACAGTGAGTTCGAATTTAACAGGTGTTTATGGTAGAGCGCTTCAGATGTGTGTTCACTTAGCTTAATGTTGCAAAAAATATGCATTCACTTGCAGACGAAAACTTAGCGGAAATAGATCGCTGAAGCGCTAACCTTCGCGAAAAAAGTAACTAGCTGAAGCGCTGACCAGAGACAGTAGCAGAAGCTATCGCTAGAGATGTCTGTTATTTGAAAACGGTGGCGCTATTGTCCATCTCTGGTAGTAGCAATTGATTGTTGAATGAATTAGACGAGAAAATGTAGACCTGACATACCGCGAGAAGTGCATCAGAATATTGGCAAATCTTTCAACTTCTATCGCAGTCATTCACCACCATACTCACAGCTAACTGTAAGAAACATCCCAACTGATAGGGAAGTAGTATAAAATTGAGATTGTTATCAATGACTACTGATGATTTAATGAACCGTGAAGCTAGTGTTTTGCAGTTTTCATCAGAAAGAACACTTATTCTCAAACAGTTTAAAGATCACTCGAAAACACTCATCGTCAGTGATGATTCAATTACACCACGGAACAGTTCATAAACATTACCGTGTGTACAACCATCGTTCAGCTTACTTTCATTGCATTCAATTTATCTGTTCTTTCATGCAGGAGTTGTTCTCTGAAGGAAGTGCGTATCCGAGCCACATCATGTACCGATGAATCAATCTATCTTTTGGCTCAGTTCTGTCCTGATCTTGAATGGATATCACATGCGGACTTCAGTGGCCGACCAAAGTTTAGTGATCAAGCATTACAGTGCCTGCGAGATTCATGTGTTCAACGGGTGATTTGTTGAAGAAGAACAACGGTATAATGAAAATATTTTTGTTTATTATTGTCATCGGTGTTGGAATAAAAATGTTTTATGATTGTATTGATCAGAATTCATAGAATGCAATAATGTTTGACAAGCACACTCCGCGATGGTTAATAGCAACGCAACAACTTGCCAGCTTTCTCAATCATTTTCACTTGATCGTTCGTTCCATATTAGACCCACTAAATCTCAGAATTTCACCACTTTGACAAGCACAAGTCTGTTTGTTAATTCTCGAAAGAACTATAGTTCAATTTATGTTGCACAACTTCACGCGTTTTACTTACTCAATCAACATTAGGATGCAAATTCGATCTCATAAGCGCTAGAACAATCGCTTATTGAGTGGAATGAATCAATGTTTCGAAATATTGGATCATTTCACGGATATCACATGCATGATATATATTTGGCGGAAACAGTAACAAATAATGGTGGTGAATGTGCTAGAAGCAACAAAGTGAACACTGATTCATTCAAATAAGAAGAGTATTGCAGCTTCTACGACCCAATAGTAACATTGAATCAATGATTTATTTAAATTGCAAATCTGGAAGTATACCAACTCAATGATAAGCATCACTAAGGCAAGCTTGCAAAAGCTATTTAAGTAATCTTCTCACATAATCATTTCTCATTAGTCTTTTATGTTACCTCTGACGTTGTTCGAGGAATATATAAAACGTAAATAGATGTAAAATTACAAGAAGATATCACTGACGATCTACGGAAACGGGTTACCAAAGAACTTTTTATTGCACCGCGACTATTTTCAAGCACAATTTAAATCCAACCCTTTTTTTGGAAAAGAAATTGTGTGGTTTCTTCATCAAAAACACGTCTACCTCTAAAGAAAATGCTCAACTTGACCAGTTGATTGACTTTAATGAACCATATTTAAAACAACAATACGCCAAAGTGTTGTTTACTACAATGATGACGCGTCTCGAAATGAACACGGAAATGTTGACAACTCCGAAGTGTATGATATGGAAAGCTGAGACATGAGGAGAGTAATTCGTGTACAAAAAAGCATGTTGGTTGCTAGGCTAGAGCAGAATGTAGACTTAGTTGGCTCTACATGATCGTCTTTATTCGCCATCTATAATAGTTGAGAAATGAGCTTCTACTATCCAATGCAACAGTTTCAGTTGAAAACACTTCATTTCAGTAATCACCGTTCCATTACTTAACTTCTAACAATCTAGAGAAGTACTCGGAAAAAGTTGAATTATTTGTGGAAAAAGTATAAGACGGGATGCAATCTATGGTATTTTAGACATGAACTTCTTGGCTACATAAACAACACCTCAACGCAAACGATAATACTGCCGCATGTTTCAATGATTCATTCCTTCAACAGATCAACATAAAATGGGTGAGTGCAATCAACTGAGTGTCAACCAAATTCGGCATTTCATTGTTGCGATGGAGGATTATTGTCTGGATTTGTGTCTGGGTTATCTGAAAAGATGAAAGACAAATACATTCCGAACAAAATCAATAAAATAATCAAACATAACCCATCAAAAATGTTCTACAAAACAATAATCTGCCCTCCAAAAGTTTCAGTCAGTGAATATGCTATAAAGCTACCCGGTGGATTTGATCCAACGAACTGTCGCCGAAACTGTTCAACTAATTCCGGATTTGCAGCTTGCATTTGACTTGCCAACTGAAACTTCAAAAAATTCAATTAGATTCAAATTAAATTCACATCTCAAAACCATACTCTTCAACAATTTCGACTATACCTGAATTCATTTTGACTATAACTGAATTTATGCACTAACAGAGAAATGACTTGACATGCAATCAAATGTACGCATGCCTAACCGAAACGACAAGCTGACAACATTTAAAGTTCACCAGTTAAGGGCCATCAAAAGAGAAAGAAAACCCTCAAAAACTGATCAAATACTCGTGAGTTGAACATCTATCGGATGAGTGCTACGATGTATGTTCCGGTCCTTCTCGCAGGAAAAACGTCTGCTTTAAACTGAACGCCACAACAATACAGTTTAAGCGTCGAGCTTGAGCCATTTAGTTTAATTCGTATGAAAAAGATATGTGGTATGTGAAACGCTCAATTACAACAATGACGGTGAAATGATGATAATGAATGAACCTGATTCCCAATTTGAAGGAGACTGCTCAGTCCAGAAGCACCTCCCTCTCTGCCACTGGCACTAGGGTCCATCAAACCACTCATCAGTTGAGCCATTATGTTTTGAAGATTTGGATTTTGCATTAACTGTGAAGCCATCTGCATCATAGCTGGATTATTCAGCATCTCGGTCATATTCTGCATATTACCGCCAAATGGAAACTAAAAACCCATTGTGATTTGTTGTTGTTGAACTGAATGAAATGGATCGTTAACAAAAATTATATTAACATAAGAAGAGTGACTACATGGAGTCACTTAAAGATCACGCGTAATATCGAATCAGCAATGTGATCAGTTATGAATCGCTTCCATATTTTTCTGCTCAATACATTAATTCGATACAAATATCTGTAAAATTATCTTACATCTGTAGTACCAAGTCCAGCTCCAGAAAGATCACTTACATCTGCAGTACCAAGTCCAGCTCCAGCGGCGGCTGCGGCTCCAGCACTGAATGCTTGCCTAGCAGCACTCTCCATTTCTTTCACTTTATCTTGAGCAATTTTCAAATTGTTCTTATAACTTTCTTGATTCGGATCCAATTCCAAAGCTTTTTTATAAGCATCAACTGCTTGTTCATATCTGTTTTGACATGATAACGCTAACCTAAATGGACATTAGTTTGTTTTTGATTAGGTTTACACAATGTTTCTTTACTCGAAACATCACAGCATTAAAATGCTAGCACGAACTGATTCAAAATTCGACTGCATCAACTACGACACAAATGATAAACGTCCAAAAAATGAAAATCATAAGCACTGTAAAAAATTGCAAGCAAATCATTGGCATGGATGTAGAATGCTAAAATAACTAAATCTGCAATTTGCACCAATGCATTCGCATATTATCTATAATAATTCAAAAAAGATAAATGATAAACATAAACAAAATTTTTTCTCACCCCATACGACCGTATGCTTTACTGTAATGAGGGTCCAGTGCCAAGGCAGTGCGACAATCTTGAATGGCCAAATCGTATTGTTCCAAACGACAATAGGCAGCCGCCCTGAAACGATAAGTACAAATAAATTAACATAATGATGCAAATATTACCTTAAACACTCAGTTGAATTCAATAACAAAGTCGAAGTATTCCACAAATCATGTTATTCGGAACAAATGAGAGTTCACATGTTCATCGATGAAAATTCCACTTCAAAGAATCCCTGAGCTATCTCACCTCTATTTTTAGCTATACGAAAGAATTAAAATATGACTCGCCTGTTACAAAAGTATGCCGGGTCCCTGTTGAGTTTGATAGCTTCATTATATTTATTAATGGCAGCATCGAATTCAGAGGCCTTCATGTGCGCATTTCCCTCTTCCTTGAGTTTATTAGCTTGTGCTATTTCAGCTTCAGTTGGTTCAGGTAGCGCCGTTTCACCCTGACAGTTACAGAAAGTAAGTATACAGAAAAAACAAAAAAGAACAGTGAAGTTCAAGCGAATATAACTTCAAGTCAGCAAGACTCATATAAGCGCCAACTCAAACTCAAGTCAGTTGACTGTCATACTCTCAAGTCGATGAGACAGACGATCCAAAAAGAAAATCGAAAATTGATTTCAAAAAGAAATACCGTTGGAAGACCTTCAGCAGCAACAAAAATATCGAGAAGCGGTTTCGATGGTTGGAAAGCATAATTGGCATCGGTGAGACCAAAAACTGATTCAAGGCATTGTACAGCAACTGAAAAATTGCACTTTCAGAACCAATGAACACTCAACTGAACATTGCAATGAGACACTGCGAGTTTCATGTGATGACATCTTTTCCGATAAACTGACAAATGATATTGTATTCAACCGCTCATTTGTTGCCAAACAACTCTTACCTTCGAGTCCTTCAGTCTGGTCGTCGCTACACTGATCAACAGAAACTTTATGTCGAAGGAACTGAATGAACGAGACCACCAAGTTCTTCTCATCACTGCTGGCCACCGCCGAAGCGGTTTCAACGTTTGTTGCGTTAGATTTGGACGCTTCTTCACTCATCTCTATACAACCAAATTACCGCACAATTACCTCAACAATATCACTCAACCGAAACACTACACACACAGCGCCGAACGAAATGAACGATAGCTGCTTACGAGAAATAAATGAATAATCACATGAAATCATTGAATCAGCCATCGCCAATCCCAGGCCCAGGGCCCAAAATTGGCCCGCCTTCAATAACATTTGGCCCACCACATGAAATTGTGAATTTGATTCCAAAGGGATAAAAATAGAAAAGAAAAAAAGGTTTCAAATTATTCAGCTACTAAACTGAAAATTTTCGACACACAATTTCCTAACAGACAACTGACTGTGTCACCAACACATCTATTACCACCTCTGCATATAATCGAGAACGCAATTCAACCTTCTAAAGTTATTGCTCTATTCCTCGAAACGACGGAATCATTACAAAAATCATCTCCGAATTTAACCCTAACCAATGATTTTCGAGAAAACTTCTCAACTATATTGGTCAACTAAATATCACAAATATGTTGCTTTGAAGTTATCATGTTCGCTACGAACTGACCAACTTGAACCTCCGCTAGAAATAAATATTCTACAGAAAAGTGAGCAAGACTAAAAAATCATTTTTGTCACTAAATTGATTTCATGCTCAGCTCGATTCGAACCCAACCGCGAAGTTCTTCATCCATTCTATCTAGAACAAAACCTCACGATGGATATCGTTACTTAGCAGTAATGATTATTAAAAGAAAATCACTTCTGTGCAGCCCGTAAAATGTGTTTCATTCCAACGTTTCGGCGTTTAACATCGTCATCAACAGAGGAATGAGCAAAGCAAAAAACGGCTCTGCTTATACAGCTAAAACACCCAAATCTCCATAAGTGATATTCAGGATCAGTACACAGATACTAAATTTGCAAATTTTGTGAGGAAAATTACGAAGACAAGATTATAGCACTTACGTAGAAGATATTGTTATATGGAAATGCGCATATAAGGATTAAATTATGAATTTCAGGACCTCAATCAGTTCCATCCGTTTACTGATATATTACTACTTCCGGAATACGTTTTCTAAACGTGCTGCTGAAAACCGCGAGCATTATGACCTCAACGGTTGTTATATCCGAGCCAATTACAGCACCTCCCATTAAGTTTAATCTGCACATTAAATCAAAACTTATTTTTCTTCATAACCTTACTCATAATCTTTTTGTAATCCGTGAACTGATCCGGTATATCGCTCACGAAGGTCAGCTATATGAACAGAGGTGCTCATTGCTCTCCCCATTCCTTCCTTGACGATCTAGCAAAACGAACATGTATTATGCGGTACACACAAGTGATTTCCCCTTATTAATCGTTATTACCAAGAATCACCTCCACTATACGCATAACATTTGGATTGATAAGTGATGTTGTTTTCGGGATTGTAATTGGAACATAAAAAAGGAAATATTGGAAAATTGTAATTCCATTGACAACTGATATTGACTTTATAAATAATTATATTGGTGAAAAGTACCATTAATTAGATCACAAAGATCTTCAATAACATCAAATGATCATTTATTGAATTCAGAAGAAAAAGCTCAACACGAATATACCAATAATTAATGGAAATTGATCACCTCAATCAAATGAATATACAAATAATCAACAATACTGCGAAAATCATCAACAATCAATTCACAATTTAACGAATACTTCCGCAATTACGCATATCCAACAGCCTATATTCCTATAAGAAATCAAGATTCATGCGTTCAGGCCAATGCTTTAAAACAAACTCATCTCAATTTTCTCTATCAATACGTCTAAGCCACAACCCAAACCTGACTAGTGATTCATTAATGCCACCGTTCCACAAATTATATTAATCACGTATATCCATATAGAATGCCTCATTAGCAAATGCAAATCAGTAAAAGAATACGTTGATGATGACATTAAAAATCAAATTCAAGATTATTTTCCATTTCAAAGAATTCATCTTCACAGCTACCGAACAACTGTGATCCCTCACCATCTGGACAAACAGACTGAACCTGAAAAAAGGCAGTTTTTATGCGACGACATGATATGTAGCTTACACCTGAACTCTGTTTCATCAAAACAAAACTTCATTACGATTAACACAACTCTGAAAACGTAAAAGAATAATGATTCAGTACATAAACTGATACTGAAACATTTTGTACTTTCTTCATTAATTCATAGCGCGAGTGCTATTAAAAACAAACAATAATCACACATGAACCAATTGAAAAGCAACGCAATTCACTTCAAATAATCAAAACGTTTACTTTCTTTGGCCAGGAAAATCAACCGATAATATAAAATTGCTCACATCTTGCGTTTCTGGTGTCTCGCCTTCAAACTCCTGCGACTGTCCTTCATCGCGTAACTGTGACCTTGTAAATTTGGCTTTTTTGCGAGATGAACTTTTCATTTCGGTCACATATCTCTCAACATATTTTTGCACTGCTTCTTTAACCGTATTTTCCATATCAGAGCACAATGGACGTACCATTGTATCTTCAGATTTGATTTCAGTTGTTGTCATTTCTGAAAAAAAGTGATGATTATCAATGGTTCCATGTGTACTTACTGACAATAGTAGTTCAGTCTTCCATTCAAATAAAGTAACGCTCACTTTGTTCAGTCGTGGTTTCACTACTTTCCACTGTGATTTGTCGCGGATAGACCTTCTTGAAAACGGTCTCGCTTTGATTACCTTGATATTCTTCGGTATTCGAAGTACCGATTTGTTTTGCTTGCTCAATTCTCCTATGACTGTCAACCGCATGAGGAGCACACTTGCTTTGTAATACCTAAACGCTATCAAAATAGACACTGTTCAACTGGTGAAAATTTTAACACGTCCATATTTTCAGAGAACAGATTTTGCTAATTTATAAAACACTTCATTTATCCCTGATGAACCTTATTGAAACATACTAATAGTAAAACTTATGAATATGATAAGAATAAATCAAACATACACTGGTAAACACAAAATTTTGAAAGAAGTTTCTATCAAATGAAGATGGAGATAATGTTCAAGAAAATCAAAATAAAATACCTCAGATACACCAACACCGTTTGAAATTTGTTCACGTAATGCGCTCAAATCGATTGTTTTCTCAAGTTGTTCCAGTTGTTTTTCGCCGTCAAGTTCTTTACACGAACGTAATACCTTCTCCATCATACGCTGCTGCTTGACGGTAAGTGTTGCGTCATGACAAACAATCCCTTCATTACGCATTTCTTCACCCAGTGCTTTCAAAAAACTGTCACGATTGTAACGAAGATTGTAATTTGTTACCTGAATCAACACAACAAATTCATTGCAGCAAACTCGACCGCGACAATAAAATACAAATATTTATTTCACATTTAAAGGACTTCTTTCACTATCATGATTAGCGCGATTTAAGTTCTCATATCATGAAACTAGGCACATGCATTTAGTTGACATCATGATTTGTACAAAAAAAAATTAGACTTAGTATCATTACCAATAATAAAGATGATTTTGAATTAAGGTAAAAGTGAACAGAACCTATTAGGACTTTCAGAGTTACTCATATTCGAATCGACGTAAACACATGAAATCATATCAAGATGACGATAAACACTCACAAATGCATCCCATGCTGAACCACAACCCAGCCGGACTGGTTTCCTCCAATCGAGCTTATCGAACATACCCGGTCGCCGCAGCATCCACGGTTCAAACGGTGATGCCTCACCTCTCCTGAACGACAAAAACAAAACTATTGCGTAGTCTTAACTTTTTAGAATCATTCATAGTTAGTAAAATGATTAAATACACATACTTGTCCGAAACAGAACAGACACTTGCACGCATCATCTCTTCTTTCTTTGCTTTATCTTTCTTCAGATTCTCATGGCATCTTTCAGCAAAATCCGCGACATACTAAAACCAAATGAAACATTCAGTGATACATCTAGATCTGCAAATAATTTCGAATCTAAGCCGCTAACTTGAATGAGAAAACGAATATCTTTTTTTTCACACTTTTTTTGACAGGTCTCATCAAAGGGAGAGATTCGCTTCGACGTGTGGATCGATCCAGAAAAGTGATCATTCGATAACATAAATTCAAATTCGAATGGACGTAAGTGCATCGAATTTATGGATTCATCGTTTCTATCAACATTCGCAACCTCGATTAATGGAAACAATGAAGAAGCCTTGAAATAAACTGCGGTCTTCGGAGAGTTGGGCTCGTACTGCTTGACTTTTAGCCACTCCATTCAATTCATCGCTATCTTACTCCTGAAGGATTCATACTGCTCAAATCTATTTTAAATGACACATACCTCCTCATCATCCATTGCAAATGAGTCAGTCGGTGCAGACGATGATGATGTCTGAAATGAATTTTAGTAGACAACAAATAAAAACACAATTAAGCAGTTCAACTGCGTCGGTTGCTAGGCATTTCTGTTGGAAAGGTTGATGGTACAAGAACTGTGAGGTATTTTCGAAATCTGAATATCGATTGATATGAGAACATCATGAATCTCTCCGCTAAAAATAATACACTTCAAATGAATACCTCTCGTTCTTAAAGTCTGCTAGTGAACACATATTAAAAGACTTTCCTAAAAACAATTAAAGTGCTTTCTGATAACGAGTTTCAAACTTTCACTCATGCACTTCACTAAATTTGATTTATTTTTTTTTTCAAAACGAGTTGCTTTTTCAATTGAAACGAAGTGAACAAATAAATAAATATCCTCACCTGGGCGACAAATTTTTTGAGACTTCTAATCTGTTTTGGTAGAAGGACACCATCAGGATTGAAATCATTTGCTGAGTGATGCGATGAAGTTGGAATATCGGTTGTTGGCTTGAATTCTGCCTGATTACTTGAAACCTGTTGGGAGGGGGAATTAGACTTTGATAATACGGAACTGTCCATTGCAGACAACGATGAAATGTTCTTCATCGAATCAGTTGCAGCTTCCTTTTTAGTATCCACTGTTTCACTGTGGTCGATTTCATCATCGATTACAACAACACGCATCGGAGCCTCAACTTCGCCACACTTATCGCCTTCATACTCCTTCAAACGTTTGCCATTCTTGAGTTCAGTATCATTCGAACTATTCATTGCTGCATGATAATTTCTAATCGTTGTTGTGATTTTACAATATCTCCAAAAAGACAACTACATTTTACTCGTAATATTGAAGTATCAAAAAACAGCCTGTTAGTATGATTATTAATTAATCAGTGTATTGAGTGCCGACTACAAAATTAATGTAAAAAAAATGATCAATTGAAATCACCATTTGAGAAAGAATCGTTTCATCGGATGGCATTTTTTCGGAAGTGTTTGTCGCAGATGATTCGATGGTACTTCGAGCTGTTGAGGTCAGTGAAGGACTAGGTAATTTCTGCTGACCAGACGAATCATTCGCTTCGTTTCCTTCACAATATTTCACTGATGACGATGAAGCTAATACCTTATCTGATGAATCGACACCAGTGATTGAATGCACGACATCACTGCCGATCGAATTGATTGTTGTCATCAAATGCTCAGAATTACAACTTGTTTTCAGATGTGAACATTCATTACTGTCAATGTTCGATGCCGTTGCATTCGAAACATGTGCCATCGTTGATGATCGAATTGTAGGTGATCGTTCAGCAGTACTCATATCTGGTAACATCGAAAATGATGTGGCTTGAGGGGGATGTTCAAATGAAGTCAACACACAGCTGTTTGCATCTATCGCCGAAGTGTTCGTAGCGGTTGTGGTGTGATGATCGCCGAGTGTTGCTGGCACTAGAATTGTTTGTGAACGAGAATTCGAACTGCTATTCACGGACGAAACACTCTTGCTGCAAACAACTTTTGACGATGGTGCTGCACACTTATTCGCAGCACTTTCCGATGATGAGACACAAGACGACGACGCAACACTTGTGGATGAAACTGGTGACGGACATTCGCTACTACCTCTCGTTGCACAACCTGATGATACTGGTGTTTCACTCCTTCCGGAAACCTTGAAAACAGTTAACATTGGTGGATGATCATCACGTGTAGTTTTCAGAAGGTGTGAACGAAGCAGGTAATGTGGTTGCGATAACAAACCGAAAGGCCATCATCAACGATTGACGACGTATCGGCGAGATGCACACGCTTCCTCTTTCTACGTCCATGTGAACTGACCGTACTCGCATTTGACGACGTATCCACTGCTTTCTTAGGTTTCTATAAAATGACAGAGCATTCACGATGCACTGATGGAAGAAGCTAAAAATATGACTACCTCATAGAAATACTGGAATCAAATAATGCATGTCCAATGAACACGAAAAAAAATACCTTTCTGATTTGTCCAAGTAAGCATAATTCATGAGATCCTTCTGTATCAAAAAACATTGGATAGAGATGATGATATTGCTTCGGTAATAAATGAATTTGAGGTAATGGGATAAAACCGGCTTGCTCTTGTTCTTCAGTACGTTTTGTCCAAAACACATTATTCGGCATGTCGATCGGAAAAGTACACGTCTGCGAAGGAAAGAAAAAATATTATATCAATCGAATCAAGAGAATAAACATTGGGTTCAAAAGCTACTTACTAGAATACACAGTTATAGTCTACAGATTGATACCATCATTGTTATAACAAATTTTACGAGCCGGAATGAAAAGAATGAACTGAATACGTACTCCTTTCGATATGCCCTTGCACATCCACATCACCCGTTGATATCGAACACCATCCTCCACAAAATGCTCCAAATCTAGTGCCTCCAAACGATCCGGACACCGTGGACATTTCAAAATGCCCAAGTCAGGCAGCTGTATCCAGATGTAAATTAGTGAACAAAGAACACAAAGAAGTCAGCAACTTTTGTGCGGATAAAACATAACTTATGTCCACGTATTTCCACTTCTACGGACCTAGACAGGCAAGCGCAAAGATATTTTAGTAGACTGAATCGAGGTTTATATAATATCTGAGCAACTGGTAAGACAAGAGAAGTGCTGTGGATTGTTCAAGAGAGGAATGCAAATTATCTGCACAGAACAGATTCAAAAACTAACCAACTTGAGAAAGGAATAATCCTCATTTTATAAACGTACGGATTCGAAATCAACAGACAATACGAACATTAACTCAATTTGTCAATGAAAAGAAAAGACAAGACAAGGAGTGAGTTTAGCGACTCGAATAAAATGTTATAATAATTCTTACACGAGTTTCTCCTCTCATCTGAGAAAAGAGCATATTTGTGAGATCGTCCAAATTTGCGTATCGATTATTCATTCTCATATGATCCCCTACTAGTCATTCATCTGCAATCATTGCAAGAATCATCAATGAGGAGATCACTGAGTCAAACGATAACGCTTTTAGATGTGGCTGATGTAGATCAAATTATTATCAAAATGGACAGACTTCGTATTTTGTATAAGCAGCTGACTCACAACCACTACTAAATTTGACAAAGGAGATTAATGCAGCAGCAGCGATGTCATCAGTGAATTATTATTTCTACTCTTAGTATGAAACTGAAACAGAAAATAAACGTCATCAACAGATCTAGAATTACCACAGTGACACATCTTGACTCTTTGCTTTATCATCAAATTAAAACCAAACAAATAGTTCGAAAATCAAACCTCCATTTAAGAAGTAAACAAGCAAACCAGCTCGAACTGATGTCAACTCTTCTTCCTACTGAACACTGCTTATAATCCCACCTTGCTTTCGCATCCCTTTCACAACGTCACTCCTAAAAACGATTTGTCCACCGTCCAAAATCTATCTCCAATCAACGTTCAGGTGGTGTAGGACGATAACGCCAACCGACATCTTCGCACGCGCGTGACACACAGATAGACGGAGAGTTATGTCTAGGACAACCAGCTCCGTGACTAGTTCCACCCCGACAAATGACACCGCTCAAGTCTATGATAACCCGCAAACCCTATCCATATCACTACTGATTAGCAGGGATTAGTTAAGGAGCTGATTGTCTGTCACCCGAGAGGGAAGGAGCAGTCGCATTGTGCTGCTGTGAATCGGACGTTTTTATTACTTTCTTGCCGAAGACAACTCAAAACATGCATCTTAACAGAACAACACATGAAGCTTGCATAGAATTACATCCGCATTTGAGACGTACGAAAAGTTGCGGACAATTTTCTACTTCATTGAAAGTGGGATAGATTTCAAGTTAGCTGTATGTTTACGTTTGACCATCAAGCAAATGATCCATCCCTTCACACTCTCTGTTAGCAAAGAAGCGTATACCTTGTTGGTAAAAAATCAGTAATTACAGGGACAATAATGTAGCAGTAGAAGTAGATCAAGAGTACCAAGCACTTTTAATTGGCTTGTATGCTTAGGTTTGCTCAGCAACGTGTAACATTTTTAATATCAACGCATACAACAGATTCTCAGCTATCAAAGAAATACCTTTCTCAAAGATAGATAAAAATCATTTGACAAGATATAGGAAAAATTCAAATCATCGTTCTATTGGTGAACTATTCGTTTGATTTGCAGCAAGCTCTACTTACGAAAGTGATGCTTTTCTTCATTCATTCCAGCTAATTTCTAACAAACAGAACACAAAATCTGCGAAAAGTGCGCAAGATATGTTGCCGTCCTAAAATTGCTTCGAAAATTCACGTTCAACATCTTGAACAGGATGTGCGGACCAGTGAAGTCAAAATACCGTGAAGATTCAATTGAAAAACCAAAATCAATTTCAATGATCCAACTTTTGAACAAAAACTATTACTTGAAAGCTATCATCACAAAGAAATAATTCATGATAGAACTTTGTTGCATAATATATCAGCATATGCCCGCCAACCATCACTAATCGATGTCAGTTCGTTCATGCTCAACATCATTCAAAAGTTTCGCATTTAACTTGTTTATTCAGCAATCGAGTGATAAAACAATAATCAATTGAGTACACAACCCATAACAAATCCCAAATTAAATCACATATATAAATGGTTTCAATATTATTAAAAACTTCTCATTTCGTCTTCTTTTTCTCCTTCTGAGATCCGGACGCCTGTTGTGTTTGTACTGGTTGCCACTAAAAGAAGTGTACACATTTGACTGATGATGCATACATTTCGAAAAGGCGAAACAGATTTACACTGTAAACGCAGTCAAAATTGTTTTGAAAGAATAAGTATTCACGAAATAATCGAACAAGAAAACCAACGTGGATCGGATTACGTCTAAGATAGGGCCACGGTGGTAGAACTAAGATACAAGAGACAACGAAGCCGACACCCAACGTGTAGACTGCGTGCGAAAGTTGTTGTGTAGTATAACCAATGAAGAAACCTATTATTGCGGCTGCCACCAAGATCACCTTCAAATATTGCCTAACTGCTCACCAAATTACACACATTCAAGAGACTACCTTCAACTTGTCAAATGCTCGACTAGGATGAGCATATTAAGAAAAATTGTTTGGAAGAGAGAACATTTAAGTAAATTATATTTTGCACTCATACTATCCAACAATGATTTTTAAAAACAATTTAAAAATGTCGACAAACAAACGATCCACACCTGAAATATTTTCTCGGCTTTGCGTTGTCCCACAAAGTCAATATAGGTAGAATACTGACGTAGCCACGGAGGTAACGATTGTATGATTCCATCCATTTCGAGAAGGATCCTTTGTGAGCAAATACTTCAGCTCAAACACTTATCAAAACTAATCAAACGATCTATGATCACGCCACGTGGTACACGTTCATTATCAAATGTCAGTTATTTAGAACTTTCCGTTTCTTTTATCTCTAACAATGGATTATTCACTCTTTGCCCGTTCAAGTGGTTTATTTTAACAATGCATAACTCTTAATTCGCGAAATATGTTATTTGTTAATTTGCAATGACACATCACTTATTCAACAGTACGATTTCTTTGTTAAGATCGATTTCTTTTTTGTAGAATGACCAGATTGAGTCATTCTTTGAATAATTCACCACAAACATTTCAGTTATTCCCGAACTTTATTGTCACGCATGATTGTGAACCTTCGTTGAAATTGACGTCTTTCGTTGCGCTTGATTATTTCTGACTATTGAGAAACCGTATGGTAAGCTCATCTTGTGAATATTTAAAAAGTGATCTTCATAATGATATGCACTAAAAAATTAAGGTAACAATCGTACAGCGAAGAACTACTGTTGATGATCGCATTGAATGTCAACGAGCGAACCGTTCGAAAAAAATATTTTATACGATTGAATGAAGACTCGCAATAATTAATAAAGCACTTGTGACGAAAATCGAACTACAATGTGATTTTGAACAAAAAAAAACCGAGAAAGGTGCACGATGAACAAAACGAAATCCGAACTTATAATGCAAATATTCCAAATGGAAAACACTACTTCAGCACACGCTGATGTGAACCAAAAGTGAGAGAGCGATCCACACTTCTAAACTGAACAATCTGACCATTAATCGTTTCATATCATCACTAAATTCAACCTGATAATGAATCCAATGCAATTTACTCTTTCACATGACATGATTGCGAAGAATTTACTCGATGCTCTATTATGGAGAATAAAATGTTTTCGTGATGCTAGTCAAGTGAATCAATCACTTTTGAAATGATTCAACAAACTCTTAAAGGATCAGTCAAATGTAATTATTATAAACTGAAACATGATAAAATCATAATTGTTTGGTATAAATATGTAATTTGAAGACAAATATCATTCATAAAGCACATTTTTGTCACCAATACAATTTGCACCGGCTATGGAATACAACAACTGAACAAATCAGTAATTAGAAGAAAACATACAAATACAGAACAAAAACAACAACTTAGAAGCACTAAAAGCATAACAGTGATAACACAATAATTTACAATATCGCACTTATTTCGTGTCAATCCGTTGAAATGAATGTATAATGTGGATGTTGAATAGATGGATCGATAAATGAATTTGCAGTGAGAATTACTGCAAAATATGGCGATTTGGGAAAAAAGTTGAAATGAATCTGAAACGGAAATAACGAACAAAGGGTCAATAACGAAAATAAATCAATGAAGGCACCACAAATGACGCATACGTTTGCATTTTATAAGGAGATGGACAGACCGTCAAAATGCTCTAAATGATCTAACAATACAATAACATAAAGTATCGTGCAAGAACTACGTTAAAATGATAGCTAATGAACTAAAAAAACACGAAACCACGAATGTTAGCACCTAATATACCCCCAAATGAAACACTATGCGGAACATTATTCAACAAATCAGCTGCAATTACAAAATTGTATAGAATATAATTCAGTTTAGCAACGAAGATCAGACATCAATAATTCAGAAATACAAAAATGGGCAAGATATATTCAAGAAAGAAAACTGAATATTGACGAAGTAAATCTGTGTTCGAAATGCGCAAAATGGGATAACTGCACGAACGAAAAGTAGGCAATGAAAAATAGAATAAAAATTTTGTAAAAACGAACAACGAACGCGATAAGCTTTATCGACTTTCAGCAAAACCTTTTTCATAGTCTTTGCGCAATTGCTTCTGATTCACCGCCCATATTTCAACCTAACAAATGAAGAAAGTGTACACATCAAAAACTTATTAAGCTGCCTACTATAAACAAAAATGAAATTCTTCTATTAGAAGATAGGCTGTTCACGATTCACGCACACAGCAGAAATCGATGCATTCAATATAATAAATTAGAGATTAAAATTATTAAAAAAAAAACGATAACAACAAATGCATCCATTATGGAAATCGATCATAGATTACACGTACAAAAGAGAAAATGGAAAAGATTCATTGTTAATGATAAAAACAATAACATGAAAACACATTAAAAAAGGAACAGAAATCTAGTTTGCACCCGGAATTTGATCGTAAAAAGTTATAGCATAATTCAGATCATAAGACACAAAACATCAGTTTAAGGCAATGAAAGAATATTATGAAGAAATGTTCATTTACTACTGTTTTAGATGAGGTGAACTGCCGATTAACAACAACGATACCCATCTATCTCGATGAGTTTACCTACCCAGACCCATTTCAAAGCTAAACTTGATGACTGATCGATTAGAATAATCAATGTTCATAACGACTGATGATCAGTCATATGAAACGCTGTAGAAGTTTGATCTTTTTGGTAGTGTACGAATGCTTTTGAGAATAACCGTTTTGAATCAATCGTACATGAAAACTGAATGTAAAGAATGAAGAGCCACTGGATAAAGAAGCTCATCAAAGAGGTGCTGAACAGTTAGTGTCGGGTGGTGGAGGTGCCCGAAATCGTGGCAATGAACAAGTTGCATTCTGTCGATTGATCGTATCATCAACCAATGCGTCAGTCTCATCACTCTCCTCAACGCGACACAAGTCACTCATCTCACATCCGGCTGAACCTTAAAATTTTTGCGCTACACAACTCTTTTTCATATAGAATCTTCATCTATCACTAGACGAATATTTATCAATTAAACAACGTTCATTCGCAATAGAACAAAAACTTTTTGAAAGCTGAATTCTACTTTACTTTCAAAGAGCTAAATAAATTTTGAAAAAAAAAAACTAACAGTATCTAAGACAAAGTGGGAATCAAAAACAGAAAACCGATAAAACAATGATGATTAATTTACTGATGTTAGGAATACGAGTGTTGTTTGAGCTCGAGCAAGACGATGCAGTAAGAGAGATCAAAGAACGCGGACGTCTTGCGACATCTAATGTTGACTTTTCACGTAACATCCCTAATCCCATCTGCAATTCATCACTCAGCCATTTTTAAAGAATAAACGCTGTTGATTACATGTTGTGGAAAGAATCGATTGAAATCAACCGAATAAACAAATAAACAAACTGGAGAATTGATGCCGAGATGAATATAGTTTACGCATGCTTCCATTCCCATGTTTGCCTTCTCTCTCAGACTTTCCTCTCGACTTCGTATTGCTTGCTTCCAAAGAATACCACGAATATCAGATACCCATGCATCACGTACACTCGGCGATTGAGCCTAAATTAATAATATTCCATTAACTGAGAGCAAACAACAACAACACATTCACGATTGATTATACTTTCTAAGAAACACGGGTGAATAGAATAATAACCTTAATAGATTTAAAATTCATAGATTTAAAATGCTCGTTAACCGTTTCTAAAGGTTAAGTTCGATATAAACCTCATATGAATCAGGTACGATGTGAAATAATCGAATTAGGTGCGGATCAATTATGCGAAATTCAAACGACTTACCTCCAAAATATATGTGAATGAATTGGTTTGCTTTCGAAACCACAATTCAAACTTGACTTTCGAATCTTTGACCATTTCAGTGAGACCACAATCAGTCATCTGAAATCATAAGTTCAACTGTTCTATAACTAATTCAATCCTTAACTTATGAATTTGTAAAATTTTCAACAAAAAGAATGAATTCAGCGACAATTATAACAGTTTTAGTTCAGATCAATCGATGGAAAATCTATATTTTAGTGTGAAATTTAAAAAAGAAAAAGAAAATCATTCACCTGGATACTTCCTTTGTATCTGAGCTCATTGTATATTCCGCTTCGTTTTGATGACTTGCATAATTTAGGTTTTGTTAAAACTACACAATTTTCGAACAAAAAAACACTGCGTAGTCGTTTCCTGGAATGAAGTCCTTTCTTTTCGGTGACCAGCATCGTGTCATTGCGAATCAGTGCACCCTGTTCACGAAGATTCAGATCGCACCCAGTGATATGCTCCATTGCCAATAAATCGCTTCCATGACGAATTTGACGACTCACCACATTTACGGCCTTTTCAAGAATTTGTAAAACTTCCTAAACGAATGAATACCATTAAAAATAGTAAAAGAATACATACAATTGCATCTAAAACACAGAAATAATGAATGATGATCAAGCAAACCAATTTATTGGGTGGTGCAGCATTAAGAAGTTGTTGAAGAGCAAGAGTATACTTGCCAATTCGTTCGATTGGTCGTACGAGCAACGGTGATAAATCCGATACGTTCTGAAATGCATTTAATGCAAAATCATTTATGGTCATTTTGGGACGAATTTTAGTAAAATCACTAACAGAACATGTTTCATAGAGATAGTTTCGATACTATTTTTAAAAACTATTCAGCTCATACTCGCTATCTCATTACCAGAAGATTTTCGATATGATGCAGACGAACAAAAATAATTTTGCTTGATTGAATAAGTTATCACAAGAAGCGACTGCAATTTAAAATGAGAGAAACCTGTATCGAATGAAAAAAGTCACTGCCACACTCACGCATCAGTTCATCAGATTTCGGCTTATTTTTAGCGTACAATGAATATAAGTTAAAATGAGTTGCGTGATCGATGAACAATCGTCCAATAGTCAATGAAAGCGATTCTTCAGCTGTACGAAACCTGAAATATCAACTTCCTATCTTTCGTATTAAAGCTTTATTTTGGTCGATGTAAATGGATTTACATTCGGGATTCTCAACAAATTTAGTTCACTGTTCGTTTCATTCGTTTGAAATCAAACCACATTGGCAAAAATTTTGAATTTACGTTAAAATTTGTCCGAAATAAATACGAAATTTATGCACACTTTGATAACGCAACAGCGAGTATAAAGGGAAAACAACAGAGCCGAATGCATCTCTCTCAAAAACGGAGTCACACATCGAACAAATAATGCATGCGAGTGTCACTTAACGTGAACGCATCTCGCAATGCGAAATTTTTGCCCATTCGTTGAGAATGCACCATTAATACAGCTGTATTGAAGCGATACTTTCTCAATGAATCACACAAACTGAGCAATAAAACTCAATCAGATATGTTCCCACAATAAACGTTCATCGGATGATATTAGAAAGATGAAAAAAAAAAGAAATGCGGCAAACCTAAGCCGGGAAATAAGATGTGGTAAGAAAGAGTGTGCATGGAATTGGAATAAACGTTCAATGTTGCCAAACAAACGAAATTTCTTGCCTCTTAATGCAGACGGAATATCAACACGAGCAAGCTCAGGTACAAAATCCTGAAATGAGACACGAATCGTCCTATTGTTCAATGATCATTCGCATAAAACCTTTGTGATCATCACATTCAATATGATCATCACATTTCATTTGCATCAAAATTCACTCGACGAATCTTATCAAATTCAGTGAACACGCATAATTACGCAGTTAGTCAGTGAATGAACACACAACCGACGAACCTGAACGATCAGCCTAAGAGTACTGACGTAATCAATTTCGGTGTCAAGCAGATCTCTAACAACGGTGCATTCGATACGATTGTTTGGATCACTCGTCTTTGCAGGATTGAGCCAATCCCGGATCACTTCGATCTGTTCAGAACGCATCGAGAAATCGAGTGTTGATAACGCTGCAAATCGTTCATGAAGATGTCGATTTGAAAAATGATCGATGTTACATGAAAATGAGAATTCCTAACTGAATCCAATCGGTTAACGAACACGTCCCTATTAACAGACCTCAGAATGGAACTCATTTCTCAAACGGTTATAAAATTCACCAGCAGATGGCGCATTACTGACGGGTTCTCCAGACACCGAATAATCATCATCGAGAAATTGGAAGGCGTTAGAGAGCGATTCCTGAAGCATTTTTGCCATATTCAATCGTGACACTATAACGCACATAGCGAACAAATACATAAAGAAAAAGATAACCTGATCAAACAGATCAATAGTTGAATTTCTGGATAAGACGGGCCTAGATTTAGCGGTAACGAAGCGCGCTGAACCTGGTCTTGCAGATCCATTGATGAGGAACGGATTTGGAAGACGTAACGGCACACTGCTCACAGAACGCCGTTGATCAAGCCGCTTACTCAATGTACTTGATGACATCGTCGTGATAACCTCAAATTCAATGCGATTTATTACCACTGAATTAACTACACTACTCATAGAACTTCTTTGAATGTACACACTTTTTATACTCAAATCAACTCATCAGCCCATTCCATATTCCTCTTTGAAATTTTCCACTGTTTTTTGTTCGTAAAAGATTAGAAATTAACGAATTTCACACGTAATCTTCAGATATGCAGATCAGCAGTGTCCACAAGATTTTTCAAATCATACCATCAGCCAATATTACGATAAAGTTACGAACAAACCAAAGAGAACGAGAATATAAATACTTTATCGGTGAGATTCAACGTTACGGGAGCAGCACCAATCGCATGTTCTTCAAACTGAGGGCTGTCATCAGCAGCAATTGTTGAACACCAAGAATTACGACGCCAACGAATCACTTCATCCTCATCTTTTTCAATCTAAATTATTACTACTGATTCGACTAATCAATCAGTCACTGACTCACTTAATTAATGCTTACCGATAATGAACTTCGGCTGCCTTCTGGATAAACAAAATATTAACTAGTATTCAATGAATTCTGTGTACAAATTGTTTTGTAAATCAATTTAAAAGTTAATTCTGCATGACACTGAATATTGTTCACCTTAAGTGGTTCCATTGATGAGACAGATGCCTTCGAGATAGGAATCTCATATTGAGTAGGTGCAGGACTTACGGAATGATGTCTTGACGGAGGAGTCATATTCATACTAAGCATTCGAGAACAACTAGCCATCAAAGATTCTTCAACATCCGAGAAAATTTCCATTGGTGTATCCGAGATTGAGTCGGACAAATCGGAACGACTTTTGGCGAGTGATGAGCCCGGTACAGATGAATCCATTTCTGCTCCTAGACAAGAATCGGAATTGGCCATTTCATTGACGGGCTCTGATTCAGCAACTTCCGCTCGTTTCACATTGTCAGATTTTTGCGAGATTTGTTCATTCGATTGCACTACATTGTTGTAATTCGATACGCAATTATCACATTGCTGCGGTATGTTTTCCAATGTCGACTTTTCAGAAACGTTATCTAGGTCGAATGTTGGCGTATTTTCTGGTGCATCTGTTGTTTCGGCGACCAACGTTACCTCTGATGTTGCAGCTATCAAGCTTACTTGTGAATCTTTGCTCTCGCTTATTTGCAATTCATCAGCACAGCGTTTAGTTCCTTCACACTCACTCATGTCTGTTTTTGGTTCGGAACTTGTTAAATCACACATAGCATTCTCACAATCGTGAACCAATGTTTCAATCTCTTGACGAATCTAAAACGATCCCGATTAGAGCAATAAACCTCTCAACAAGTTTCATAACAGCTGATTTCAATGTTTTTCTTTGCTTTCCTTGTTCTATTCCCGAATACACTTGAAAATGTTAGTATTACGAATGGGAATACTTCAGAAAATAGAATAAAGAAAACTAATAACGCGAATAAATAAAGAATGTGTGATCATCAATAAAAAGTGCTTACCGGTGGATCAGAGCATAGATCAATGTATTGACGTAGATGAGATACCGCATCTGATGGGAACTGTTCAATAAGAATTTGTTTTGCTGATTCATCGCACTGTTTTTTGGCATGCAATAATGCCCAATCGTACAACTGAAAATGCAATCCTCCGTGCACGCATTTTATCAATCGACCAATCTCATTCGTATACAATAAAAAATCGTTCATCTCCAATCTTGAACACACAAAACGATCGTTTCATTTCATCGTTATATCACATTCCCAACGATCCAAATCAAACACAAATAATACTCATTTCTCATTTTCAATAAGCGGCTTCTCAATTTGAATGGTCAAATTCAAAGGATATGATGAACAGACCTGATCAATAAGGTTCCTGGCTTCAAGTGCCTTTTTGAGCACATCAACAGTAAGGAGAACCCTACTTCGAGCAGAACTAATCTTATCACGAACATCCGAAGCAATTCTTTCAACAACTCGACGATCTGTTTCATTCAACCAACAACATTCTTCAAGCAAACGATTCATCTCTGATAAACGATCCATAATCAAGTTCATTTTACTGTTCTCACACGTTGACAATTCTTCTGCCTTCTTAACCTAAAATCACTTACATCTACAAAGAAAACAGTAGGCATTCCAAAAGCGACATTCATGATCGAGCAGGGTAAATTTTATGATGTGAATGAATTTTCTGATAAACCATTTTGTTGCAGCATAATGATGCTGAACGAACAATATTATCTACCTGAGCTGAAAGTCGATTTATGTTGAAGGTTCTCAAATTTTTCAACTTCTCCACTCCAGCGAGTCTTGATTCTAATCCTGATAACTCCTTAAATTCAAAAGATATGACATTTGTACTCCTTGAAATCAATAGTATATTATTCAATACTCCCTGCTCAAGAATATCAACCTTCTAAAGCTGAACTCTCTCAAGGCATCTCCAATTTCATAAAACTTCTAAACAACAATTCGTTCATAAGTCATATTTCCATTTCAATTCCCGTCATACTTTCAAAACATTTACTTTACAAGACTCACGATTTTTATTGGCGTTATTAATTCACATGCATCACTAACTGAAGTGAAATGTTCCGATCACAAATTACAAAAACCACAGAACGTTTAAATGGAAACGTTCGAACGAACAACACAATCAGTTTTATAATGTTACTGTGAATAATTCAAGACATAATAGGAGGCTTCAACGATGCCCAGAAAGATGAATGAAAAAACCAAATAAAAATGTAAACCTTCGAAAGATCTTCAATAAAACTGATCATTTCAATGGTCGATTGGAAAGATCCAAGTCGTCGATTGATTGTTGATTCGCATTTTCTCATCACCGCACTCAGCTCGTCGAATGCGGTTGTTGCCCTCTTCACAGCTCCTCTAAAAAAACAAAATAAAAAAACTGATGGCATTTGGCAAGTGTGAAAGCAAAACCAGTGAATGAAACGAATAATGCGAATATATATGCAAAAATTGATATATATCGTCAGATAAGAAGAAAACCAAATATTTATTTATTACAATCAGATTCACATACGAATATAAGAATGAATCAAGGTTTTCGAGCATCGGGAATTGATTCAACAAACGTTCACAAATTGCCGAACCATCTTTTAGGAGATTAGCTCCATCCGGCTCAAGCGTTACTTCTGTCCAACGAAGACGTAACCGGAAAATTGTCAAAGAACGATTAAAAAAGCACAACCAACCAAACAAATTTGATAGATGATTCACATATATTTCTCAGAGACAAAAAATGGCTCCAATTCAATCGAAAAAACGTCCACTTCCAGTACACAAAATTCTTCATTCAAAATTCATTTGTGCTCGGAATATAAAATGAAAATTAAGAAAAAACACTGTAAATCTGGCAGTTCTTTCGGTCTCATAAAGTGACATATGAATAATATCGTAAAAAATGAATGAATGAATGCAGAAGTTAACTAAGACTAACTCCTCCATGCGATCTGTAACCGCATCAATAGTCAATTCGGTGATATTCTTGGGCACGTCGAATTTTTTTAAATCTTCGTGTAAGTTCATGTACAATTTTGCCATACGATGCGTTCTCCGCAGTAAATCTTCCAAGCACTAAGATTGTTCAACGAATACTCTTTGAGAGACAAAATGAACATATTGAACAAACGCGTAATAACGCCTTAATTACTGCATAAAATAATTATTGTGGACAAAACCGTTAACGATTCAATCCGTCTTCTTTTTCGATTTTATACAAGCAATAACGACAACAACTACTCGAAACAACGATAGCAATAATTTTTTACGTTATGAAAATACAGCGAGAAAAGATAAAATCTTATACCGAACGCATACGGAAGAATTGCTCAGATACTTCGGGCTCAACCAATCCACCCAAACTGGTCGACAAAAATGTAAGATCTACATGTTCAGGAAGGTTGCGCAAATCGCAGAAAGTGTTCTGGAAAAATGAGAATGTTTAAGGAATGATAAACGGTTAGCCTCCGTTAGGATAGAATAAATCACTGGTAACGATCAAAATCATTCATATTGATGACTTATATAATGATCGGTTTGGTTACAGATTCAAAGGGCATACTTGGATTCGAGAAACAGTGAGATCATTAGCGATAATGGCGTCCAAATTGATTGTGTACGGAACACCAACCCATAAAATGCGCTCGATTGTGCCATCAAGACGAGACTTAAATATGCTTTTAATACATAGTTATTAAAAACGATTGCCGTTAATGAATAATTCAACGGAATATCTGAACCTTTATTGAAATGAGATACTTTTAAAAACCGATATAGTTCCAACGATACAGTGTTATGATAGTAACAATGCGATTTTAAAAAAATTACTTCCAATATCGATTCAGGAATGGAGAACCAATCAAATTTTGTATGGGCCATTAATTGAAGTTACATTGGTGATAACTAAACTTCGTTGGCCACCAAAAAAATCTCAACTCCACTACTATCAACGTTCACACTGATCACCACCACACATCAAAAATCAAACTGGTGAGAAAGTGACTGCAAAATATTAAAAAGAGCTGACCGCAAAGTTATGCAACGCTCGTGTGCACGCATGGAACGCGTCGAGTGTGCCTTCTCGTGCATCAATTACTAAATACAACAAATAACGCGAATCGTTGCATCTGCAAAGTTGATTAATTTCATGAAATATTCATTTTGAAAGACTGTTGCTATGCAATAACACCGAAAAATTCATTAAACAATCATAAATGGAACAATTTTATAACTAAGCTGTAGATTGTTGATGCAAAGTTCAAATAACATAATCCAAAAAAGAATTTTCCATTAAGTTAGCAGCGAAAATAAAGACAGTTATCTCAATAAAAGATAAAGAAATTGAACTTCGCACTCAAAAGAAGCGGCGGCCCTATGAGATAATCCTTTGAAAGAAAACGATGCAATAGAAACGATTACAATAGGACTAATAATGATGACAGTATTAGTCATAATGTTAATATCGTGAAATGGCGTCTATAAAGAAGAATAACAAATGAATTGTAATCAAATAAAGAGAACTCAATGTTTTACAATACGGAAGCGATGCATAAAAAATTAATCCGACAAGAAAAGATGAAGTGACTGCAGCTGTGTGTGCATATGCGCATGAAATGAATTTAAATGAAAATGCAGCTGTTATTTCAAAAATTACAGCATCAGTTGATCCGAATTAATTTCATAATTCAATTCTGAGAGCCGATTCGTTTCAGTGCATTTCAAATAGTTGTATTGCTTCTTCACTCAAATCCTTTAAACATCACAAAACAGTCAATACAAGTTTACGCGTTGATAAGTAGAAGAAACCACGAAATAATCAAACAATAAATGATTCAAGCAAACAAAAAAATAAGACTTTATCAAAGATACAACGAAATATATCCGGTTCCATCGATAGAATGAACGCGAAAAAAATGCTTTCACTACTTCAAAATCACACATGCTTGTGCAACGTGGTTTATCGCAAGTGAATCAATAAAAATACGATGATGTATAACATAGATGGATGGCGCGATGTTATTTATAAAACATCCTGTCGACTTCATTGAATTCAAATTTTGATGGTGCAGCATAGAAATAAGTATTTGAATAAGATGTTAAGCAGAAAATGAACGTACGATGAGTATAAGGAACGAATTGAGAAGAGAAGAGCCGGTAGTATATCGAATGGTAGATGAGCACTTAGCTTCAGTTCTACTGTTATATTACTTGAACAACATTTTACATCCGTACCTAAAAGTATTCACTGAATCACTGCAACTCATCGCAAACATTAAGATTTTCGAACGCTTCAACTAAAGTTCGAAATTTACGAAAGTGATATCGTTTATCAGTTATGTAAGAAAATCTTTTTTTCAAAAACTGTCAAAGTTCACCAACAAGTTAAGTAAAAGATACCAACCAAAATTATAAGCGTTTGGAGTGTTTCTCAAAAACGAATTATTGTACGAATAATCAAAGTCAACTAATAACACAAAAATCACACAGATCATAAAGATAAAAGTGTTGTTTGCCTTAAATAACTGAATGAATAGATGAAACAAATCATAAGGAAAACTAACCATGAATTTGAAGAAATTTATGCGGTTCAATATCAGGTGCAGAAGCGAATGCATCAGAGAAGTATTTGCTAAACGACCTCATAAAGCCTCATCTAATCGTCTCAGTCTGAAATCACTTCAACTCAATCCAATGATCAGCGTTTAATTGAGACACGAACTGTCTTTCTTCAACTGCGTCAACTGCACGAACGAAAACCATCAATTCAACAAAATCTTGCTAACCAAATCTTTTACATGCATTTATTCAAATCACCAAATTACTTCTCTATCAATTACGCATGTAGACGTTTACAGTCTTGCAATTTTTTGCTTGTGCACAATTACAGAAGCCTTCAAGTGTACTAACAATCAGTTTACATTAGATTTCACACGATGTTTTTTCCTCTCGGAAATACGATTTCTTCATACGGCTTATTTTTCTTGATGACTTCAATTCAACAAAACGATCAAAGAAAATTTTTTTAATGCGATAAACGTTTCGAACCCATAGAATGGTGAACAATTTAACGGTTAGTGGGAACAAATTCGGAAGAATTATCAATGATTCAATTACAAATCGGATGTAGATTTAATGAAAGATATCTTTGGTTCAGCATAAATGCGAGACACTTGTTTATACAATAATCTTTTTTGAAACGAACAACAGATTTTTTTCGATGCAATCTAAGTTTAAGCGATAGATAGATTATATTTAGGTGAATAAGTAAAAAAGAAAAAACACTGAAAATGACACTTTCAAAATGAATATTATTTCGAAAACGATGTGCTGATAGCAACTCAACAGCATATAATATACAACCAAATACTCGTCATCTGTATAAATGTAACACATTCGTTGTAATAACTTTACACTATACTTCGCTATAAAAATAAACGCATAAATACACAAAGTATTTATGTACATATAAAGATATTCATTTCATTCCTTTTCTAAAACTATCATCGTTTGTATTTTATCTGAAGACAGAAGTGAAAATGATGTTCATTCGATATGAAATGAACACATAATTTGAACGAAACGAATGACGATCTTGGGGTATGTAGGGCTGATTAACTCGTATTGGGTACAACTGAAGAAGAAGAAAGCATAACTGTACACTAACTTTGATCTTACGTGCTATTTTACATCGAAAATTTGAGGTTGAACTAGGCATTAACTTAACTTTAGATTTGAACGTCAAATGAAGCCTGAAAACTTCTTAAAATTACTGAAAATCTGAACTCAATTCAGAAAAGTCTCAATCAAAGCGAAGGTTCAATTTGTGCAATATTCACACAATTGAAGACTAGACGAGAAATTTTTTCAAGCAAAGGTTCAATTTATTTTTGATTCTATTCAACAAACAGATGAAATGCTCCGAATATACAATTCTACATTTGAGAGTATTGAACTGAGTGAATAAATAATAAAAGACTGAGGATATTTAATGGTCAGAAATGAAAACAATAAACAAAATTTGGTGCAAAAGAAAATTTCAACTGTGCGATTACTTGGGGATTATTTTCGAGGGATTGGAGAAGAAAAAACTAGACAGGTGCTGTAAACAAAAGTGATAATAATAGAGATTGTCAGTGAATGAATAATGATAGAGGAGTATCACACAATGCTACAAATATGAAAAATTCGAAGAATTTCCACAGATGAAACAAATGCTAACGATAAGCACAGATAATCATAAATAATAATTCTGCACAACATAACATAACACTAAATCAAATCACAAACCAAACACAAAATCAACNAACTATTCTAATATTGAACAAACATCCATTCTAGCAACATCAATAGCAAAAAGTATATGCAAATAAACCAATAAAATATTTGTTCAGTAAATCAATCCGATCAATTTTTGATAATCGATCAAGATACGAAACTGAACTGTCAACAGATCAAAATAATGATCTAGAAAAGCGTTTGATATATGTATGAGCTATATGTTTCGCGTATAGACAAATAAGTGTTTAACCGCATGGGAGGCGAAGCGTTCAGCAATTACAAATCTCTGTTTAAGTTTGACGAAATACTTTCGGAGCGGTAAAAACCACAAAAATAGGCAATTGCATTTTCTTTCTCAATCAAATTACAGGTAACGATGAAAGCATTCATTCACATCTTCGACAATTGCTAAAATTCAACGCATAAGTGAGTTTCATATCACAAACTTGCAATGTTTGTAATCCCTCCTCCACTGGCTCCGTTAACTAGCGCATATATTCAACACTGGGTGTCCGAATGAGATGAGAACTGATCGTTGTGTTAACGCAAAGCATGTTTGCATTGTCGAATTTAAGTGGACAAGCAAAGGAATCACGCGAAAAACGATGAATTAATGAAAATGAATCGCATTAGCTTTGCTTCGAATTGTGACTGATCTATAATTCAAATGTGACTGATCAAATGAAGAAACAAAACATGCGTATATAACTGAATTGGCAAGCAATAATTCAGTCATTTTGCGGGCTCGAGTCTCTGTTCTCAATCTCAATCATGAACCGATATGAACATTAACTGCAACGTATTTCAGCCAACCTTCCAATCGGTCTCAAACATGATTTTGACAAATGATTGATAGAATGACAAAAACGTTGATATCGATAAATGTGAATCATGGCAGTGGGAAGTAAGACCACCCTTAAATTTTAATAGTTACCAAGTCCGAAAATTTGAGGATATCAGCCCCTCCCCCTATTCCTCATCATGAACAGACATTTCATTGAACTGATTGTCAAATACGACCTAAACCAAGCATACATTGGATTTTGAGAGAATTAGTTTTGAACACACTTGAAACGATCGCAGATGATTGTACGTTGAAGTGAAGCGCTCGTTAAGCGAACGATGCCTTTTTTAAAAAACAATTTTTTGGATAACAAAAGTTTTTTTGACGGAACTGGAACGAATAAGAGTTCGAATAAGCCAAAAGAATTGAGTGAAATGAAAAAAGCGTTGAGGAAATACTCTTTAAGGGAAACAAAGAAAATTCTCGATGTATCGTCGTATCCTTCATATTTTCGTTCAAATTTAAAAGGGGAAAAAATTAGAATCGCTTATTAGAATATTATCAAAATATGAATAACTGTTTGTTTCCATACTTGTTCTCCACGAATGGATAACGAATAAATAATGGAAAAAAACGGCTGAGTAATATAAAAGCGTTCAATACACAACATTTTCATTTCTAGGAAAAACCAACGATGTGCTATTATTATTGACACATTCGACGAATAACGATTGAAATACAACGAAAATGACTAACAAAGATCGAAAGAGCGTGTTTCATGAATCATTACTGAAAAGTTCATTGGCATCAAAATTTCTTTTTTCAGTTGTTGTTTCAGTGAAGTAAAATGACTGCTTGATAGAAATGTATGTTAATGGGATAACAATAATAATAATTATTATTATTGTCATTATCATAACATTAATGTGATAACGATATCAAAATACAACAAAAAATTTCACTGTAGTGAAACACGTACGGGTATTCGACTATAACTGGTTCAACAAGTCTAAATTTAGTCAAAGAAATCAAACGAAGCTTCTACCTCATCAGCCCACTTCAAGCATATGATGCAATTAACGTCATTTGTGGATGAAGAAAACAGGCATAAATAAACTCAACTTATATTCAATTAAATGCTGGAAAGAACAGAAGAAAAAAAAAACGAATTTGCACTCAAAATCATAATCAATTTGATGAGTCGATAGCGTTTTCATGACGGACTTCCATCACAGATATCAGAACTGGTTACGAACGAATGATAAAGAAATGATTCTATTCTTGCCATGATTTACGATTAAATGGAGACATTCTGATGCGCTCTTTCCTTGTAAAATTAACAATCGATCAGTACACTTTTCAAAACTGTTGACAAGTGATCAATACGCGGATGACAACGAATATATCCAAATAAAATGCACGACATTTACAATTGAGCACTTTTCTACCACTGAAAAATACTGTCAATTGCCTATCCACTGAAAATTTCCGCACTAGATCAACAATCCTATCAGATCATTTGATGTCAAATTATTCACTTCGAACGTACTTATCATTTATTTCTTTCATTACCCAACTGGAACATAATTTCTCAAAAAAAAAGAAAAAAAGAGAATAGACTCTATTTCATTTAATGGATGGTTAGTTGGATGTACGACTGAATTGAAAAAGAATAGAACACTTGAAAATGGGACGCTATTAAATGGTGCTTTCTCATCATTTAGCGCTCAATAATTTCTCATTTTCAAAAGAAAAAAACAAAAACAACTATGATGACTGACAAAGGAGCTTGTTGATTTTTTAGAATGGGATTCAATAATTGATTTGTGCAAATTTTTGCGTTAGATTAAAAATATTAAATAGAGAGACGAACGATAAGTTGCTTATCATTCGATGATGTTTGTCATATAGAAAAAACGTTCGTTCTCATCAAACTAATAGTCTATCCTCCAAACGAATTATCATGAATAAGCGTTTTCGCATCTGTGCTGTTTATCTTCATTCACTGAAAGATTTGCGCATTCAAAGGCACATGTCTCTTGTCCACAATACGAAAAATCTGAGCATTTCTTGCTGATGAATAGAAACGAACTTCACGATAGCAAAAAAAGCGAAAAAAACTGATAACGAATCGATGACGACTGAAGACGAGTTCCCTCTTTGATTTATTTTCGACGAAACAAGTTCTTAACGCTAATTCAACAGCACCATTACTTACAAACGAAAGATGACATTTTATAAGGGTACCTACTATGCTACAGAAATCTACTCTGTGATTCGAGGTGTATATTGTTTCCGTTAATTTATAATCAGAAAGGAGTTCTCGGCAGTGATTCAGCAAATGGGCAATACATATTTGCTTGCAGTTGAACAATAGATTTTCTGTTACCATCTCAAATGTCTTTTAGAGGTTTCTCTTAAGGACGCTTATGTTTCTTCGTTCATGCATGATGAAAATGGCACATTTTCACGACACAACAACAGATGGCTGAAAGCATTCAACTAAACAACTTCACATTAAATCTTCACGCATTTACTCTCATATATGAGAAAGTCACGAGAAAATGCTACATAAAAAATG